TGGCAGACCGCCCCTCAGCCAACTACTTGCACGAGCTTTTTTCTTATTTTTTTCGTGTTTCTTTGCTATCTCTCGTATTGCGGCGATGTTCTTGATCAGACTTTCAGATTTCTACCGCTAACTCTTTAAAACAAACACTGGTTGAGAGAATTTCAGCCTTACCGCAAAAAAAGTCTAGGGTACATATTCCAACGAAAAACTTGACACATTTCATCAAATCACGTTTGTGTATATGTCACTTACCGGAAAAAAGAGATTTCTCATCCAAAAATCTCCAATCGCATCCTTCTTCCCGGTTTACATGGAAGAAAACGCAAAACAAACGAGCACATTTGCATAAAACAGTAGTCAGCAGTGCAAAATCTAAAAATCTGATAAATAACATTGCCGCAATACGAAAGATAGCAAAAAAAACACAAAGAAAATTGAGAAAAGCTCATGTGCAAGCGGTTGGCTAAGGAGCGGTCTGCCGCGCTCTACCGCGGCCGGTCTTCTCCAGTTCGAATTCAAATTCGACCACTGACCGACTAGTGGGGTGAGGACGACTATAATAACACCAGTGCTTCACCTCTGCTTCGCAGAGGCTCGCACTGGCCACCAAGAAATGATGATAAACTTACGATGTGAAGGCTTTCTTTTAGATTATTGCCAGGTTCAATGCGGTGAGATAGTTCCTAATTAAAAAATGAACCATACTCGCTATTAGAACCTCACATGCTGCAGTCTATTGTAAATCATTCCTCACTGTATTTTCGTAACAGACTTACAGACCGACAAATAAGCGGCTTATAATAAGTCATGATTTTTGTACGTTTAAGAGTCCGGATGCAGTGGTCGCAGATTTCCGCAGGTCCTAACATGCAGGCTAATTGAGGAATTTAATCTGCAAAAACTTATTTGCCAGAAGCCTTGAACTTATTTTTGGTTCTGACCGTAATGCTCATGGTCACAAGGCAACATACAATACAGGGTGTTTTCATTACCTAGCAGCTAAATTGTGGCAAAAAATCAGGAAAGATACCACTTGGTATAGGGCATTCGAAAAATCGCGACGATGGCGCGACCGCGCGCGACACGCACGCACCTTCTGGAAGCAGCATTTTCTTGCCTTTGATCTATACTCGACTGATTTTTCTGCTTGATATGATGGTACTTGAACACTGGAAGTGACTGAGCTGAATGTTGAGGTGATGCCTCTTTGTATGAGGGTGTTATGCCCCTGTGCGCGCAAAGTCCGCAGTCAAATCCGTCGTCACGATTTTACAAGTGAACCATAAGTACTTTGGGATTACCTAGATATTATCATTGAATCGCGAAAATTTATCCTTTGAGAAGCAAAATGTGACTTGGCGAGCAATCGTAAGTATAGTGTACAAACTTCTTTTTATGTAAATAATGCCTTACATCATCTTGAGCTTACGAAAATAACATAAACCAATTTTGAAGGCAAAAATTTGAGAGCAGGCTTGCTGTTAGGTCTATGTCAGGTGCGCTTTAGATACGAAAACTCAAATTTTTTTCTAGTTCTCACTTCGCTAAGCATCTATAAGAAAGATGAAGCCCTATAGCTTCCAAATCAGTCAAAAAACTGCGGAATCACCCATAAAAACACAATCTCGGAAACAAAATAAGCATGAAAGTATTTTGAAGCAAAAAAAGCGGATAAGCAATTCTTATACAGGATATTTGATTTTTTTCTGAATAATCAGACAAAAACGGGATCCGTTCTAGTTACCGATGGAGCTTGTTAACAACTATATCAAATTTCAGATCAATCCATTGAGAAGCAGATGAGCTACGGCAATTTTCAGGGTGGAATTATAGTTTTGGCCAGCACTGTATAAAGCAAACAAAGTTTATTAACGAATAATATTGAAATACTCTTTGTTACATCAGTATTATGACAATGTTCGTAATTGATGGCCATCTATACCAGTAATTCGAGAAAACCTTTTCAGAATCGTTGTGTATCGATGGGAATCGAGCGCCGTATATATTAGGTCGCTCCGCAGTTCGTACCGTTTTCATAAAGCAACGAAAACACAAAATTTTGTCAACATTCCGTCAGTATGCTCCGTTGTTGCGCACAACCGTTTGCCACCTTGCTGTCAAATTTTCAATCCCATTTTTTTCCAGCTAGCCTGGTTTCAAAAAGTCGTCCAACCATGCCTGAGACCGTCCTTAGAATTGAAGCTCTGACGCCTTCATAAGAATTGTGGTAAAAAGAAAAAGATGGTAAACTGCTAGAGCGAGTTTCAGGAGTACATTGGATACTACTTTATGGGCAGCTGTTTTGTTCCCGTCTAGCAATGTTCAATGCAGAACCTCTCGTCCGTCAGAAATGTTTATTTAGGGGAAGTCCTGCAAACCCTTTTTTTCTGCATATATAATCCCTTTTTGTATCGTGTTGACGAGAAAGCGCTGATTTTCATAACTGACAAAAAATCTGCGTGAATCGCCTTTTTATAAGGAAAATGGGCGGGTACCAGAAGCTTCTTTTTGTCTGTTCAGAAATCATTTTTGGAAGCTAAGCAGTCAAGACAGACCAGCTTTTCTTCAAAATTAAATATTCGTTTTAAGCAGATCAGCTTTTTCTTCTGAATGCATTTTGTCGCAAATCGACTACCTCTTAGAAGGGAAGTTCGCTTAGTCGAAGTGGCGATTCGAAAGGAGATCTATACCAATGGATAGCGCTTAAAAAGCTGATCACAGATATACCTTCTATATCTGCGATGCGTTGTTCTGAAAAAAGTTATGAGCTTTCCTAAAGCCAAATTTTCGTGCATTTTGTGCCGCAAAATCATGATAATTGTTACACAAAAGTGTGCAAGCTTAAGCAAACCACCTAGTAAGCATTGTAGGTCTAATTCGAGTTCATCCGAACGCTATCGAATATTTTTCGATCATTTGTTCATCCACAGGTCGTCATTTCATTCCTAGATCACACTTCCATTATGTATACAAAAAAGCCCCATAACCTCCATCTAGAAAAACGCATCGCGTAGGAAACTTTTTGAGAACTGCCAATGGATGGAACGTAAAACGATGTTCTCAAATATATCTTCAATATCTGCGACGCGTTCTTCTAGATGGAGGTTATGGGCTTTTTTGTAGGTATAATGGAAGTGTGATCTAGAAGGAAATGACGGCCTGTGAATAAACAACATGGTCGGAAAACACTCGAAAACGTTCGGATGAACTCAAATTAGACCTACAATCCTTACTAGGTGGTTTGCTCAAGCTTGCACACTTTTGTGTAGCGATTATCATGATTTTGTGACTCAAAATGCACGAAAATTTAGCTTTAGAAAAGCTCATAACTTTTTTGAGAACAACGCATCGCAGATATAGAAAGTATATATGTAATCAGCTTTTTATGCTCTATCCATTGGTGTGGATCTCCTTCCGAATCGCCACTTCGACTAAGTGAACTTCCCTTGTTAGACCCGTATGCATTAATATCTCTGTGGCGGTGGGAGCGCGCCCTCGTTATCAAAGGCAGTGTCTAGGCAAATCTGCGCATATGGGTTTTTTGCCTGGAAACTGATGAGGAGGTTCTAGCCAGAGGTGCGATAGGTGGAGCCGGGCCCCCCAAAAGTGAAGGTGGTTCCAGCTACCACGCCGGCCAAAAGTGAAGGTGGTAGTGCCGGACACTCACCTCCCAAAAACGTCGACCGGGGGGGGGGGGAGGGAAGCATTAACGTCTATCCTTCCAGGTCGTTGCCGCCAGTGCGCGGTATACAGCGTCATAAATATCTGAAATAAACGTGCTTATTAAATAGTGTATTTGGAAGTAAAACTCAGCGAAACTGTGCGTATTTCACTAATTAATTTTTGTTATAATGTACAGCGAAGAAAGTAGATCGATCCAGGCAGTAACCGTCGAGAACCAGAATTTCGAATGATAAAATAATGAAAAATCGTGAAAAATCATTCCACTGTTACAAATCTGCCAACTGAAGACCTCTGCAGTTGCGACTTCATAGGTTTTGAAGGGTAAGTGTTGTTCTACCAGACAGTGAAAGAATCAGTTTGATTTGAGGAGTGGCCGATGAGAACGAGAACTTTGAAAAACCTTAAAAATCTTCTCAATTTTAGGTTGCTCAATGACAATTGACATTTAAACTCTTATAAATCCGGACTTTGAAGGTGTGTGATGTTGCGACTTCATAGATTTTGTAGGGTGAGGTTTGCTCTATCAGAATATATCTTAGCTGTACCGATCCATTGAAACATCGCCGAGATTCAGGCTCTTAAAAAAGCAGGTAAAAAACCGTTTTTCAGCTCATAACTTCTTCAAAATTGCATAATTCATGTTGCGACTTCATAGGTTGGATTCTTCTCATCAAGAACTATGCTCCTAATACTTTCTTTTACACTCCTTTTGCTTATTTTCCTTCTTTTGAGCTTTAGCAAAAAAAATTTCAAACCCAAAAGTGAAGGGGGTCACCCTATACCAGCTCAAAAGTGAAGGTAGGCGGAGAATCGGCTCCGACTATCGCACCTCTGGTTCTAGCTAAGGTACTGCCCAAACCACAGCGCAAATGTTTCATTCACGGCTGAGATATCCGTCCCTAAACATTCCGCGGCTGCGCCACCTAACGCTTGGGATAGGTCCCATCGCGAACGTAGTGAGCGAAATCGTTTTCTGGTTACGGTCACGGCGCAGGCGCGGGGTTTTGGGGGACAGATTTTTCCTCCGTGAGTGTACAATTTGCACTGCCCCTTGGGCAGTGCCTTGGTTAGGACCCCCTCATCAACTTCCAGGCGAAAGACTCATGCGCCCAGGTTTGCCTGGACACTGCCTTCAAGGGGTTTCTAAGATTTCAGTGCCATGCGAGAGTGGCCCCCCTCAGACACAACATCGCGCAAGTGCGACGTCATAACGCTCGACCTAAAGCAAGAAAAACGACCGGGAAGTGGGGTAACTTACGCCTTGGGGCGGGGTTCCCGAGCTGTGCGAATTCCTACTATGCGGCAGAGTACGCATGCCGCCACAGTTAAAATGTAGGGTCCCGCAGCGACTCTGCGTCTCTGCCTTGGTGGGGACCGTCGAATCAAATTGTGCGGCTTTGGAGAACGTATGTTCTCTCCGTTTCCGCGCTTCCAATGTGGATTTTCGGATTCAGCGTTGGGATAACCCTCGGTAAGTGGATTTTCTAGAAATCGAGTTCTTGCCCGGACACTGCCTGTAAGGGATCGCGAGCGCACTCCGCTGCAGCTTCTTCATCGTTGGCAACGCTGCTGCCCTCGCCGCAGGGATGTTAATGCATACGGACTTTAGAGAAATGAAGGCGAGAATGAAAACGGTACAAATTTTGAGACGACTAAAAGATGTTAGCAAAATTTGTAGCGGGTCAAAGTAGCGGGTTGGAAATCTTGGCACGCTCGCCAAACATGTGTAAATAGATGTAAATATCTGCATATGTCCGATATATTATATAAGCCTACACTTATTCGTTTCCTTTCTTTTTGCTGTTTCCCACTATCACTTGTGAAATACCGTACGCTTTCTTCATTCCCATACTTTTTGTTTACAGATTGCACAGCGATATCGGCGCGCAACGATGCCGACCAGAGGAGAACTCTGAAGAATCAGTGAAGGAACGTGCGATTATCGAGCCACCACGTATGGGCCCCAACTTTTCAATCTTATTGTGTTTCTGTTATTTTATGTTGCCGGCGTGTTAGATTTGCGAGTTGTTGATGTTTGTTGAAATAAACACGTTTGGTAAGACTGTGTTAGGTGCATTTTGAGGCGTTATTCGCGTTAATATGGTATCGGTCATTAGAGAGGGTGACACGATATCCATAAGTCCTGCACAATCGGCTTGTAATGAGGCTCTGTTAAGAAGAGAAGAACCGGTAACGATACTGGCAGCTCATCAATGAGATAAAGAACTGAGAGAACCAAGTTAGCGCAAAATATGGTGGCGTCCTAGGTTGCACTGCGAACAGCATGGAAGCGGGCGAAAGCGCAAAAATACAAAGATCTGGACAAACATCCATCGCCGGTTGTTGACGTTGCGATGGGCCCCCTGCGCTTTATTATAGAGTATGATATGGCCACCCTGTAAGGTCTCGCGCATAGTTCACGCGATTTTACCGCCTCGCGATTCCCACGCAAGACAACTGTTAAGAGTCCGTTGCATGCCGATCATCTTGCATTTCACTTGTGGTAGTTCTCCGGCACGACTAATCGCGGCTTACTATCACAACCGAAATGCAAGGTGATCGACATGCAATGGACTCGTAACAGTTGTCATATTGGGAGAATAGCGAGGCGATAGAAACGCGTGAACCATGCCCGAGGCCCAAGGAAGCAGCTTATAAGTCCTTCGAAGCTTCTACCACTGCGTTATAGACAACGGAATGACACGAAAGATGAATTTGATCAGACGTTTTGATAACGACCATTATTCCATTTCGTGAAAGATTATGTGAATTTTCAAACGCTTAAAGTAAACTAAGCTCATGAAAGTAAAACTAGATTCACGCTTGGTTGGTAATTAGCTAAGGGTTCTTCCAATACATTCCGATCGCATCGTCCAAATTTTTAGGTTAGCTCATAAATAACTTCGGTTGTTTCTGCTGCTCTTAAAAATGCTTCTAATTTTACAAAATACAATAACTGGATGAATGTGGATACTGTTTGAATAGAGGTTATATCCTTATGAAAAAAGGTGCAAAGAAGTGGAAAGCCCCAATCTTCTCATTGTGCGCAGTAGTGGAATTCGTTTCTTTTTGTTGTTTTTTTTTTGACCAATGAGTTTCGAAATGACAGGTCGCAAATTTGATTACTATGCGGTAGAATAGGGGAAACTTGGATACCTGGAAAAATTTGTATCCAGTACAAATTACCAATCTCTGCATATCACAGCATGAAAACGAAACTAAAAAAAGTTAAAGGACTGAGCTTTGGAAAATTTGAACTTGCGGCATAAGTGTCCTTCAATAATAGTAGGAAATCCTGTATAGTTGACATGTGACAGGATAAACCTTGAACTACTCAATAAACTACAGATAAAAACAACGAGAAAATTTCTATGAAGACTTGCATGAAAAAAAGGACTCATTTCTCATCAACCTAGATTAAATTTGAAAACTATAGTTTGTGGTACAGGAAAGCTCCTGAATACAAACACCCTATTTTTACATTTAACCTAAAAACCTCTCACCTATCTAGGAGTGTATATTTTTCCTAAATCAACTTTTTTCACGATGCTGATTTCTATGACTGTTTGTCGAAGATCTTTCTAGTAGAATCCGATTTACAAGTGCTCCTCAAAGAAAGAGGCGTAGTTGATTGGTCTACGACGGGTCGAGAGCTCTTCGCTATCATCTGCGCTCTGATCCTCAGTGACAAATGATTATGTGTCCGTGTGCGATCGAGCGGCTTCCTGTGAAGTGTCCATTTGTCGCCGGCCATCATCTCTTCTACTTTCGCAGCTGCTTCGGAGAAGTTTTGACGTTGGGTATTTGTAAAGGTAGACGTATTTTTCTAGACTTTGCTTGGGTAAAGGTTTCTTCAGCGGCCTGGTCTTTTCGTGACTTTTCATCGTTATTTCAACGTTGTAATGGTGATCGGAAAAGTTAGTTTAAACAGTGAGCGGAATCGGTGGTGATTCGTTTTTATGGCCCAGCTTTCGCGTCTCACTTTATGGCCACATTTACTTCGCACACATCCATCTCAATCACCCTGCTTTCTCCACCTGCAGGCACTCAAATGTCCAGCAGTCCGGCACATTTCAATTTTCTCTCTTTATCTTGGGAACAATTCCTTCCCCAAACGCTCCTTTTGCCCTTTTCCCGATATTTTTGCACAAGGGCCGCCATGCCATCCCTTATCGCACTGTCCAACTGTCATCGACGAACCCGAAGCTGCGTCAACGGGGGTGGCACACAGGCGCGAAAAGCGTCTTCTCGTCCGGCTGACCTCCAGATTTTAGCCGTTTTGTATGTGGCCCCCGCACATGGCCCCGCACTGTGATTGATGAGTGCTTAATAATCTGTCCTTATGGACCCGCGCCACGTCTCCTCGCACACCACCCGGCTGGCGGTTCGTTTAGGCACCCTTCAGCTTCCTATTGATTCCGAGATCCTCAGTGATTTACCCTCTGGCTTCGCAGCGCATCTGCATCAACCGCATGATGATCCATAATAAATTCTCAAAGGGCTTTCAAAATCCTATAGATTTATAGAGAATCTTGATGATGTCCTCTTTCTTACTCACTAGCGATTCTTTTATATCAGTGCATTCTATAGTAGAGAAAGAAAACCGCTTTAGAAGAAAATTTTGATTTCAAAGAAACGCAAACAAGGTAGCTTCAGGCATACAATAATTTCTTTTGAACGACAAAAGGGATCCTAGGAATTTTTTTGGCTTTGGCCATTAGCATCATAAGTGAGTGAACATATTATTTAATTTACGTGGAACCGAATTCATCGATTTTTTGATGAGTCTCAGATAGAAAGGTTTCGAAAGTAATTCCGCATTTTTATCGAGCGTCATATCCGTCAAATAAAGTTTTTTTTTTAAGATAAAGCAGGTCCTATTTGATGCGGCCACTCTCTTTGTAACTGTTGCTTCAAATTAGAATTTCAGTGCTCCGCAGAAATAGAGCATGCAGCTGAGTATCGAAACTATCCTTAAATTAGTTAAACACCATTGTTTAATCATTCTCGAATTTTAGAAGAAGTTTTCCTCAGAAAATTTGGTTTTTTAGTACTAGCCAAGCACATAATTGCATCAAACACCTCAAAAACTACATTATAGAAAGCGAGTAAAGCCCGACAATATTGCAATGAATGAGTTCAGCAAAGCATCAAAAGCTCTGAATACAAAAAGTTCAAGGAGTTTAGTACAGTTACCTAATCTCTTGGTCATTACAAAAAGACAATACTGAGGAGATGATTTTGCAAGTTACCTGAGACTTAATGAAATGAAACATGTGTTAAGATGCATATCTTACTAAATCTTCTCCAGAAGTGGCATGGTTGTCTTCAAAAACCCGCATAAATTTTTTTGAAAATTGCAAAACTTTTAATCTTGGCAAAAAACCATGTCTGCAGACTCTAGTGATCTATAAGACGTCGTTGGCTGATTTGCGGTGAAACTATGAATTCAAAAGAAATTAAAAAGCTGCCTCAATTCAAAATCTTCCGTAAGTCTTTCCTCTGTGGGATGTGACGCTCCTTCACGCTCTTTAGTATTCTCTTAATTTTCCTAATAGGAACACTTTGAACAATTATAATTCGATCTATTTGCCCAGTAATATAAAGTGCGGTTTATAATTATACGAACACCAAAAATTTTGTAAGTTTTTGGACTTTTTGAGAGAAACTCAAAAAGCCGTTGGTACCACGCGATAGAACACAGCCGAAAACGGTATGTGATCCATAAGAATGGAAATCGATGTCAACTGTAGGAGTGTTTTTGCGGCTAATGCGAATTTTTAGCGGTTCATAATTATACGAACACCTTAAACAAAGGTCCATTTTTCATTCAAGATTGCAATCGTTTGAGTCCAAATTTTTTGAATTACAGTAACAAAGTCTGACATATCTGCTATATACTAAACCCAGTGCAGTTCAAAAAGAGGATCGTTACTTTTATCAAAAGGGGCTAAATGCTTTCGGAGTGATTGGGCTCTAGAAACATCCGTTCTTCTGTGGTTTACGCGCTCTAATTAGCTTCTACCAAAGCTATGAGATGAAATAAGCTCTTTCGATAGGTATTCCGTTTGACGCTTGGAGAATCCTTGCGTTTTCGTGCCGTTTTTCAACCAAGTTCCAAGCTTAGCACAGAGTAGCACGATTTCGAGCCTCAAAACTCAGCTTCTCTCTTGCGCAAACATTTGATAGGAAGCAGCTGCATTGCTTGCATGATGATATTTCTGTATCAAAGTTTTTGGGTTTTTTCTAGAACTGATCTTGCGGCTGTGGAGCTACAAACCAAATAAAGGTGAGATTGCAATAGTATCAACGGCTGGTATCAACGGCTTTTTGAGTTTCTCCCATAAAGTCCGAAAACTTACAAAATTTTGGGTGTTCGTATAATTATGAACCGCACTTTAGTTCTTAGGATGTCAAGTCATTTCGGAGCTCACCGATTCTCCCCCTCCCTCCTCTTGGAGGAGCAATAAGTCATTTTATAACACATAATCATGTGTAATATTCGTATCGAGACGGTTATAGCCATCGTTAATGGCGCCAATACAGCAGCTTATCGCAGGAAAACGACATGCTTCGCACAGCTTCAGCTTCCCAACGATGAGAATTCTTCTCGCCTTTCGTAATGTACAGAGATTTCAAGCCTGTTAGTTTTTGCCTGAACGTTTCTCTAATCAGGTTCAAAAACAAATTTAGAAGTAAGAAAAAACATTAGAGACAAACAGCAAATTGTTAAAAAAAACTCATATGCTGTAGCATCACCATTTTCCATCTTTTCCATGTTCAAAGGCAAACCGACGTTTTAATGCATGTGGAGGGCGAGAGGGTGGCTTACCAATCTAACATTCATCAAAACATCAATAAAATTGTGGAAGATGCTTGATAATTTGAGATGAACGATAAACATTTTCGTAAGAATTTTTGTTCAAGGACTGTGGAAACGGTTTTCAAAAAAAATAGAAAGAAAAGGGGGATTTTGTTGTAAATCGAGGTTTTTATCAACATTTTCAGTCACCAATTGATGAAAATATTATAGCGTTAATTGTAAGATTCAATATTTAATGGTTGAGCATGCAGTCACTACTATGGGATTAGCTAATTTTTTTCCAGCTGCTCTAAGCTAGCGATTCGATGCGTCAATAGCACCTACTCGCTTAATGTTTTTTCAGCTTCTGTATGTGGTCTTTTAAATCGTTGATAAATGCTTCATGTGAAGTTACAATGAAATCATTATAATCTTTTATGCTAAATATGCTTTTTTATTATTATTTGGCCGTCGCCCAGGGTGAGAGTGTTGTCCCCAGGGATCGTACAGTGATCGTATCTCCGCACGTCAGCCTCACTCCATTATTCATCTTATCACTTCAGATGAGGGACGTGTCTTCGGGCGATTGAGAGCTCGTTTCCGCTGTCGAGTTTGTCCCCCGAAGAGCACAGGTCACCTTGTCCGATTGCGTAGTTATGTTCAAGTGGTTCGCGAAAGCTCAAGCTATCTGTCTGAATAGCTTTCGAGCTGTCTGCGTACTATTCGCGTTTGTTTTTTGTTTTAAAACCATCCCAATGCTCATTGTCTTTGAAGTTCTGCGAATTCCACTCGTTCTCTTTTTTGCCGGTAACCTTGCGAATTCGTCTAGTTTTATAGCCGACTGTATGGTTATTTCACTAGCTTTTCCAATACTTTGACCTCATTAGCTTTTCGGTCTGATGGGCTGTCGGCTCGGTTTTACAGTGGATCGGCATGTTGCGGCACCGTCGGCGGCGTCGTTTGATGTGCTTTCATCTCGCCGACCGCGTCCCACCTCGCCTTTGATACGAACTCTTATCAGCGGCTTTTTGGTCTTCTCCTCTTCTTGCTTCCACTCATAAAACGACAATTCGACGCTTTTTCGCACGGCATCAGCTAAGCAGCAGCGATTTTGTGGATTAGTAAATGGGCAGAACGGCATTGTTTTGCTGTATCACCAATCGAGGATTACCAAATCACACCGCTGACATTAGAACTGAGCATACTTAACTAGCGACTCGCAGCGTTTCTTCCACATTGCAACCATTTTCCATACAAGAGCTTCATCTCAAACATTCTAACTGTCCCTTGTCTCATCATTTTCTGATTCAATTTCAATCCGCACTCATATAATTTGAGGATCTCCTAAAATCACAATTACATGGGAATCCTACCATAAATTTTTTGTTGGCTTCTGCACAAATAGAATTTTGGTTCAATGAGATACCTTCAATACGCTCTTAAGCCGGGCATACTTCACGCGATTTTAATCGCGATGCGATTTGGCAATATCCCAATTGTCCATAACTCACTGCAAGCACATTTTAAATGTACAGAAGATAGGGCATTTAATCAATTCAGTAAGTTGTATAAACTGTGCATGTGCAGTTTGCTAGTGTTGGATTTGAAGACATCTGGCGAACTGCCAAGTAGCATCGCGACTGAAATCGCTTAAAGTGTGCCCGTTCCTTTAGAAATAAGCAAAAAATCCTTTTATATATTGACGCGTGAAAAACCATCAGTCCTTTCTTAGTCGCCAATTGCAATATGGAGCTCTTTGTCTTTCAATTATCGAACTTTGGTAATCAGTTTGGAGCACAGACGAATAAAGAACCGCTCCAAATATTGAGTACCGATTCTAATCTCTCGAACAATCTCGTAACATTTGTTTTGGACAAAATGTCGCGCTATATTTTCAGAACCACTGCTACACTCCTCGCTCATAATTACACAAATACTTTTCTCAAAATAATTTTGGTGAAACTAAAAGCCAAGCTCGTTCAACTTCTATTCAACTCATGTTCCATCAGTATAAAATAACAGAAATAACTTGTTGTTAGTTCTATAAACCAAGACCATTCGTCGGAATCGCAAAGGTTATCCCGATTTTTCCACTCTCATATCAGGACACTTGCGGCACCCCTCACCCTACAAGGTCAACGGGATTCGACTCTTTGTTGTGCGTGCCGAAAATAGTCAATTACTATATAACACGTTATTTTGTTGGTCGGAAAGTACGAGTAGGACAAAAGCAAAATTCTCGCATGGACTTTCAGATCAGAAAAGTAGTTTAGTATTACATAGGAAAACAACTCTTTGCTTTCCAAAAAACGAAAGAATCTTTTGAAATGTGGTTGAAGTAAAACAACAATTTTTAAGAGTATGCAAAACCTTCTCCAATAAGTTTTTTTTATAATTCACAAACTATACACTTTCACCAAAATATACCTAATTCTCAGTACTCAAAATTACCAAGCTAACAAATCCTTTTTCCAAACATTTCCATGGAAACCTGTAAAATTCATTAATTTCGCCTAAAGGGGAGAAAGGAGTTGGTATCAGGGCTCGGCACAGGTTGTTTGTGCGCAAGCTGGATATCGTTCTTGGGATGAAGGCAAAGGGGTATCGTTTTTGAGGTCGAAAAGACACAAAAATTGCGAAGTTTTTTAGTCGATTGTTTTCTGATGGTTTTCAACGTTTAGGGTTTAGGGTCAAAGGAAACTTCGCAAAAATTTGCGAAAGACAAGGGGTAATTCGTTTTTTGCATTTTCCAAAAACCGCCTCGTTTCGAGCCCTGGTTGATATTGTAAAAAAATTTCACTAACAAAGTCAGGACCTAAACCAGAACTTTTCAGTTTCGGTCATTTACATTCATTTTAGACGCGAAGGATATACCAGCTGCCACGTCTTCGACGTTATCTTTTTTTAAATTCTAATTTCAGCCCATTCTTGAGAAAATATTGCCGCAAAAGCCGACACTAGCTTTCAAAAGCCGACAGCAGAGACATGGAGTCAAACGTTTGCGATCTGGCCAAGCGGCTTCTTGTAGGCGATCTTAGCGCCAGGCCGGTAGGTGCAAAAAGGGGCGAGATTCGAATCGCCGCCGTCGCGGTGCCTTTCGCGGTCGCCGTCGGAAAGGCGTCGGCGCCGTTTGAGCGTGCGTGCGCGAGTGAACTGCAGACGGTCGTCGTCGTCGTCGGCTTTGTAATGAGCAATCATGCTCAAACACCTGTAGTGTTTGCTGAACAGATCTGCAGCGAACGGCTACCTCCGGCCATTCGATCCATCCGTTACCAGTTCCTCGGCCGACCGCCATACTCAAGAAAGGCAATCTCCCACTTGCCCACATCAGCTCTGCCGCCCTGTACCCACCCCACTGCTCCTCTTCCAACATCCTCTGGCCAGCCGCACTCCATCAATCAGTCTCTAATGCACTCGCGCTGTTTTTCTAGGAGGCACTGCTTCGCGCGCTGCCGTGACAAATCTCTCGTTCTTCCATCCTTTCTCTCGCGAGCCGCCCGATCTGCGTCAGCTTTTCGGAAGAGGTAAAATACGAGGAAAAAGTTTGGCTATGTTCTAATTCACCTTGGCTATGATTCAGTCCGGATCTAATCAAACAGTGTGTCAAGCCCTGATCTTCCATAAAAATAATTGCATTGTTCTGCTTTTTCGATGTTTATTTATGTAATTTAATTCGCTTTATTTTTGTTTGTCTGAAATAATATTTGCTAGACTCGATATCAATCGAGTATATTCGATTTCTGTCGGCACCTCTGACCTTCCGATTAATTTCTACTCATGATTTTCCGCCTTATATCTGCGAATGTATTCTTGTTATAGCGCCCCTCATGCACTGCAGTGGCCGTCCCAAAAATGGGGGGGGGGGGGGGGGAGAAAGTTTTTGCATGACAATTTTAAGTCTCTGTATCTCTAAAAAAATTTTCAGAAACGGGAATGGTTTGCGAATTTTTGATTTTTTACTGAGTACAAAAATCTTTTTTACAAAAACATTTTGAATTTTCGAAATCTCGAAGCCAGTTAAAGGATCAAAGAATACTTCTGCTACAATCAAAAAACAAAGCCAAATGTACATGCATGAATAAGGCCTTCTTGTTGATTACGCTTCTTTTTCTTGCATCCCACATCAATTAGTAATGGCGGCACTTTGTGAAAGACAAAGGAATCCAGAGATGAAAGTGATACCGCCTGCCTTTGGCCGCTATTTCTTTCACGCATTACAATATAACACCATTTATATTGACTTTGCTCAGAGGTGGGAATGTCTGATAGATTATCAAATGTTATGCGCCAATTTTGGTAGGGCAGATCTTTCAGTCATTTTTTTGATCTTCAAAATAACTGATGGATAGGCATTTTGTCAGACAGAAATCATCAGCTACGTAAAGCAGATCAATGAACTCTGCTGTTATGAGTTTTTTCCTCCATCTCCTTCCTTTACTCTCATCAGTAATTTCTAAAGTAAATTTTGCGGATAGTGATAGAATTCTTTTTCTCAGTATTAAAAAACAATGTTATGTATTTGCTGAAATTTAGACTGATATTATTTTTGGAAATTTGAGCAAAAAATATGTCGATGCTTCGATCACCTATATTTATCACTTGTTGTTACGCAATGCATGTTGTACATGTACTTTTTATCGGTAGCCTTTCTCACTATCGCTTTTTGTTGCCTTTCTTTCTATATTTCTCCGATTTTCTTACTCTAGATCACATAAATTTCTGCTAGAAGGTCTTCTGGAATCAATTCCGCTTCTTACAGATGGCATCGGATGCTAATAATTTCGCATCCAATGTTGAAGCTGTTTTACAAGATGCGGCAGCGTTACAAGCTTTTCGAGAATGGATCCGTCTTGTAAGTATTATATCACTGTTTGAAGCTTGAAAAATTAAAACTGTCATTGAATTGCACTATTTCTTTCATGACCGAAAGATTAAAATAATTCATGTAAAACCGAAGACCAAACTTTTCCCCATATAAATTCTCCTCAAACTGCGACCTGCAAAGAATCTGTGCGAGCATCAGTACACAAAAAATACAGTTGTATGTTTTTGTCTTAACAAAGCATCTTCTCAGCTAAATGTAGATGGAGGCAGTAAATTCCGAGCTATGTTCAAATTGACTATCACACCTTATCAGCACATCGACATTTCTCACAGTTATAGCAGCTTTGAGCAAAAGTAAAAAAAAATTAATAGGGTAGCAGTTTTGACACAAGGCCCATAATCAACATCAAAGTAAACTTTTGCATCGTTACTGGAACAGGAAATGAAGAAAAAATGTTAGAGAAACCAATGTTCAACGGAAAAAATTTCAGTCTGTAGCCCAGCAAATAAGCAGCATTTTGTGCAAGCCTCAACAGATGTAAGCGAATCAAAATTAATATACAGGGTGTCCCAAAAAATGTATCAAACGTTTGATCTTCAATAACTTAAGTTCCTTATACCAGAAACTTTCGCGGATTTTTGCATGCCATACGGCGGGGCTAGATTCAGCTTAGATTTAGAGTATAGAGCAAATCACCGATTTTTCTCAGTTAATGTAGAGTTATGATAGGAATTTTCGACTAGTTTTAGGCTTCTGACAGACATGAATTGCTTCTTAAAATTCCAAAAAAACCCCAAGGAAGTCAAACTAAGGTTTTCAGGGATGGACCTAATTACAAAGTTCCCCGCTTGTGCTTCTTACGGTATACGCAGCGTAACGTTGAATGTTTGGGTTCTTTTCCAAAATTTACCAAATCAACGTTGCAGTTGAAAACACGTCACAATCAATCAAATCAATAAAATAAAATCATCAATTGTTTTAAAACCTAATTTTGCAATTTTGTTTGCACTCTAATTTCAATTTGAACTTTGCCTGACAAAGAGAACTTGATGTAGTATATTTTGGAAAAAGTCGAAAATTCAGCGTCACAGTGCGTATACCGTAGAACCCGAAGAGTACGGTAGCGGAACACTTTGTAATTAGGTTCAGCACTTCCGAAAGCCTTAGTTTGACGTTCTTCGGTTTTTTTTTTCGAAACTTTTAGAAGCAATTCTCGTCTGTCAGAAGCCTTAAATTAATCGAAATTTCCTACCGTAATCCTACCGTATCCAAGAGTAATCGATGATTTGCTCTATACTGTAAATCTAAGTTGAAGCTAGCCCTACCATATGGCACCCAAAAATCCACGAGAGCCTATCATATAAGGAAATTATTGAAGAACAAACGTTCCATACATTTTTGGGGCACCATGTATTAGATCAAAAAATTTCGTATGCGTTACACGAAAAGTTTTGTTAATTGTAATCTATACGATCTTTTTGATCCTATCTTGAGACGAAAAAAAAATGCTTATAGGTCCTCATCAGTTGCTGTTATAAAAAGTTTCGTATTTAGGATCCATCTCGACCGGCTGATTGCCTCACACTGTATTTCGCTATAAAAGGATACCAAACGTTCCTTTCAAAGAACGATCCAAACACTTCCAGTATGGCTTGCACATTACATCGAAAGTTTATTAGGTTAGTGCTGGTCGAACTAACTGAGGACATCGGTATTATGTGAAAAGTTTTCAGTCAGCGTACGGGTACTTGTTCGTTCCTTCCCGCGTCTGTGCGGAAGGAAATGTCCACAAGGGTGCATTCTCTCAACAGTCAAAATCCTCCTTATCCTGAACTGTTCGATCCTGTGCAGCCAGCACTTAGGAAGCAACTTGATGCTCTTCATGCGCAATTCGTCTCGTCTCATAGTTTCTTGGAGGTAAATTGAATGTCAAAATATTTCCATGTGAAGTACGAGTAGCTACAGTCTGTTACAGTTCATCGCTCGTGGCAGTGAAGGTTCTTCCTCCGCTACGCCTGAGGATGACTTCCACCTGCTTCCAACAAGCTTTGCGCCAACATCGACCTTGATACGCGATAGTGGCAAGAAGAATAAGGGGTGAGAAAAACTTGTGTAGGCTGCTGCATGACGAAGGCGCAATACCTTTGGGCGCGAACGCGGTTTCATTAGCAGCAGAGCGCATGAGGCGCAGCATTTATAACGGTGAAGATACGCGCACGCAGCGTTCGCGCCCGTTCAACTAATACTGCTCATGCGACTTCGTCATGCAGCAGGCTTTGTGTATGCTTCATAGCAAAAATACAAGGTGTCCCAAAAATATGCCTACTGTTTGGTTGTTACTGGCGCTCTTATCTTGCTCTTATCTTGAGATCTTCCGAGATTTAGGTACCATTTCGTAGAACTGGCTTGAACTTAGACTCCACAGAATGGAGCGGATTACCGATTTCTCTTCATTACTGTAGGACTACGGTAGGAACTCGCACAGAAAAATTTCCATACAAATCTGGAAAATTGTGTAACAAGGTTTTTATGCATGCTGGTTTCACCAAATAACTTTGCGCAAAGCTTTTCTATTGATGTAATCAAATTTTGACACATGTCAGAAATCGGTCGTCACGGTCTATCTGGTATAACTTATGAAAAGAGTTACGGTGAGTTGCGAATTTCACATTCAAAATTATCTGCTCATCAACCTAGTGTAGGAGTCTTCAGCTTTCTCAGTTTGTTTAGAACTGAGGTATAACCTTTAATGAAGCAAAACCCTCTCCCTACCGTAATCCTACAGTAATGAAGAGGGATCGATAATTCGCTCTGCACTGTAAATTCAAGATGGAGCCAGCTCTACGAATTGGTACGTGAAGCTTATCGGAAGGCTTTTCGGACTTCATGACAAGAAAGTTACTAACAACCACATTTTTGGGCCCCTTGTAGAATTCTACTTAAGAGTTAAGACATAAAAGGTTTATTTATTTATTTATTTATTTATTTATTTATTCATACGCTCTATGGCGTTCCTTACAAAAAGAACAAGAGAAAAAAAATACACACACAGTAAATCGACACCCCAGTTTACAGCTAATTTGATTTATCCTAAGGTTATATTTCGTAGGTTCAAAACTCGTGCATATTCGTGTGATGCGTCCACCAGTCGTGATAATGATGATAGTTCCCGAGGCATTATCATCGACCGAGAGAGACACCTTTTTAAGGTGAGGAAATTAACGCTTTATTTTATAATATTACACTTCTGACAGGGCCTATTGGGCAAAGTAATCTAGGAAATCAATTTTGAAAGTTTTCAAGATTTTCTGTCAGTCCATTAGTGACTGCTTTTGAACATTTTTTGCTTTGAGAGCCCAATTCTTTTCAACTTACAATTATCTCTATTTCCTAATTCTGGATAAAGTCCCTGTTAGTAGAAAGTAATCAAATTCTATAAAAGAAATTTTTACGTGTGGACACAAAGAGGTAAAGAGAATTTGCGTTTTCTAACGAACTAGCCAAAATTCTGGTACCGACTGGGCCACTTAACATTATTACCGGGACCATATAGTCTAAACCATGTACAGAGTACGAGTGATTTTTCCCCACCACTCTGCACCAAAGAGAGGAGGTAGTGGAACGAACACCTCAATTAGGAGCCGCCTCCGAGGACTACTGGTCCTAACACGATGCGCAACAATAGAGGAAAAGACCAGCAGCCCGTGGAAGCGGTGCCTAATTGAGGTGCTCTTTCCTCTGTCCAAAAAGAGGCAATGTGCCTCTTTAGTTTACGGGCAAAGAATCTTGCGGGACAAACATATCTCTTTGAAAACAGATTCTGTTTTATACATATTATTGATTCATTGTTCACTAATAAAATAAAAAAATACTCTGCAGCATAGCGATGGTTCGATCCGGCACGATATTCCCGAAGCACGAGAAGCCTTCGCTTCAGTCTTAACTGAACGGCTTGAGGTTATCAGTAAGGAACTGGAGAGAAGCGATGCAAATACTTATGCTCGGTGGGTTCTAGCTCAATAATTACGCATCCCTGAGCAAGCCAGAAATACAAATAAACGCTAATTTTAGTGACCTGCCGCCAGATCTCGCAGCATGTTCGCTACTGCCTTCACTTCATGATAATCGCATATTAGAAGAGACAACAAGTGACGAGGAAGTTGAAAAATATGTGGGCAGAATTGATGGAACTCGTCGAAGATCTGGTAAGGCTGGACGTACAACTTCACATTTTCAGTGAAAAAATCAATGATTTTAGAGTCTACATCTCCAGTTCTATTCAATTTCCGCCCGACCAAAGCTAATCCTTACGAGAACGGATTTGCCCCACCACCTGCGCAGGAATCACATTTTCCCTTTCCTAGTTTACCCACACCTCCCGTGTTTCCTTGCAAATCTAATAAGTAAGAAAATATAGTAAATGGATACATTTCTCATTGCTCAAGGGACTATTTTAGATCTATGGACTATCGACTTTCTGACTCCAGTGGTTTTTGCAGTTCTGAGAGTGCCTACTGGTCGGAAAGAAGTTTTGGCAAAAAGAAAATGAGTGAGTTCTTTATGATTCACTGGAACAACATCGATGGCGTTTTGTTGTTCCACATTCGTAAAGGGAAGATCTGCTTTTGACCTGAAAAATGGAGAATTTTGATCAATATATAGAAATTAGTTGATTCATTTTCGAGTCAATTTTTTCACAAATTTTCGAAACATTTCTCTATTTTCATTTTCTTCACCTATTGTATCCTTAATTTCTTCAAAGCAGATCTTCTAGGAGAACACTTTCTTATGACTTCTGCTACAAGATTCATATCTCATATTCAACTTCCAGGTTTGGATGCTCATTCCTATCAACTTGGGACACGCAGTCTACCCAGAAGACCATCGCATCCTGCACCCACACATAACATCTTTGCAACTCTAAAGTGAGTTTAGTTAGCCAAGAATATCACAAGGTAAAAATTTTACTTTAGTTGTCGGATTGATGCACCACCGCTAACGCTGGTCTTGCGAGAGAATGGTCAGCCACCTATGGTGGCGAAAATTCCGTCAGAAATCATTACTCTAGCGAAATTTCGTAGAATATTTGGTGTATCACGAACAGAAAACAAAAGGTTTGTATAATTCAAAAAGCTCTTCTACTCATCTTTATCAAACTTCTTCCAGATTTCTTTTCAAAAGCACTTGCGAAGATGATTCGGCTCCATATCAGTGGAGTGTCATCACCGATGATGACGCCGTGCTGCCACTGTTTGATGGAAAAATCACAGCCGAATGCCGACATTTTAACGAAGCGCTGTAGTACTACCACATTTTTGTATGCACATATTGCTTTAAACGAGTTAGAGAGAAAAAGAACTATGTTTCAAAGTCATTTGTATCGGTTGCTTTCACAGGGTTTGTTGCGCGCTCACTTAGCTTTGTTTATATCTATTTGCTCAATGTTTTTTGTATAAATCGTTTCATACTTTTTCAAATTTTACTACTCTTTTGAGAAGAGAAAGTTGCCATATTATATTAGGTTATCCCGAAAGTTTCGGTTTTTTGTGAACCGCTATAAAACTACGCACAATAAAGACCTGCATAAGTTTCAACATGCATCCGATGCAGCTTTTCCTTCTCTTTCTTATGCTTACATTCACGAGTCACAATCCTGAATGCTTTTTTGGTAATTGCCACAATTCTTTACTCGTCATTTTTATCTGCTTAAAGTAGGCTAATTTTTGCCGGAAGATCAAGTATGGCACAAATAGAACAATTTCCGGACTATGGAAGCATTATTCTCCTAACCTGCTGCTTTTAGCCAAAAAATTATTTCTTTGGAGGTCTCGATTTTTGATAAACATGAAACGCACAACTACAGCAAAAACATTAAAGCTTTTAAAAATTGTGCGAATTGGAACTTGATGCTAATAAACATTATTTTATGCAACATAACGAAGTTTAATTTGCTTTTGAAAATCAGCTTTTTGGGATTTTCGATAACTTTACGTGTAGACGTAACAAAAAAGCCACGTTTTCAAAATAGATAGTTATCTAGAACTTAATAAACGTGGCCCATGTAAACCTAAAATAAGTACAATGTAACCAAAAATTTGCTTTACAAAACATTTATTAGCGCTTTTTGGAAATAGCAGGAGAAATTTTTTTTTAATTCAGGAAAGATTTGGCTTTACGTTGAGCTGCTCAAAAAGCCATGGCGATAACATCGCAAAAACCGGGTAGATCAGAGAGCAATTACAGCTGCAAGAAAGAGGATAAAAATTTGAATCAAACGATACCGAGATCGTCCATGCGTTGGTGTTCTGTTCTGTGGGTTATAGTGAGTGATGAAACAATCGACAAAATTTTCGGGACAATTTGATACAATAGACTCTCTCATTGAAAATGTCGCCGGCTCGCTTGCCCGCGAACTATAGGGTTTTGCTTGATCGCGAGAGTAGGTGAGTTTGCGGCTTGCACACGCAGGATGTCACAAGGCCTCAAGCCAGCTAAACCATCCCGTACTTTTCAGAATTTTCTCACATAACTGGAAGCTACCATTTGATAGCAGAAAAGCGCTTGAAAGAAGAAAGAATTGAGGAAGCTCAATGCGCGTGCAATGGCCGCAAGCTCACCAACTCTCGCGGTCACATAGCGTCCTATCGGTGGCTCTGCGCCGCTTCTGCGAACGACAAAAAGTTGCGGAGCCACCTTTTTTCATCGCTCATTTTCAGATGGAAAACAAAGACAGAAAATGATCTGATCGCATGAGATGTTAGCGTCTTCGAGAGCTACAGCCCACACATTACTCTTTGTGAAAAATTTAGATTCTAGAAACTTTAGAAATCTTTTACCCAAAATATCCAAATTGGCCGTGTTGCGATGTCGCGGAAAACCATAAGTCCGAACAGGTACGCTCGCTATCATATAGCGTTCATAAAGGACTTCAATCTGGTTACGATAACTTTCTCATAAAAACACGAACTTTGAATTTTATTCTGCATTTTCATAAAATAAAACTAAGTCCCTCTTCAAAACAAAACTCTTCACATGGGAAGTGGTTCCAGAATCCTAACAAATGCCTGAGTAAATTGGATGCCCTTTATCATCCTTCAATCTGTGCTGATGAGTTTCTTTGATGAAATTGGCTCTTGTTAGTGCGTGCACATGACATTATCTGCACATCACAACTGATATATGCTTCGTAGCTTGTAGCTCAGCCACCTGTCATTCTGTGAGCATGCATGCAACATAATAAGTCTAAAATTATGGAAATGAATGGGTCTAAAAAAGCACAGTCTGGTAGGTTTCAGAATTCCACCTACGGTTAAGCAGAGCTCCTTTTGTTACCAGTTTCATCTCTGGATTCGGAACTGACAAACTTCTAGTAACAATTAATTTCGTAGATGTACTACCGTTCCGAAGTCGATAAGAGCCTAGCAAGGGAATGGTCAGAAGAAGTGGCCACTCCGACTAACAATAAGCTGCATGGCATTGGATGCAGCATAGAACGCTGATTTCGAATCTGTATTCCTGCTGTAATCTGCTTAGCGCCTACGTGGAAGAAGTTATATTACTTACTTAGATACTTAGATGGCCCGTCTTGACGTGGCGTGCGGGCCTCAGCACAAAAATTTCATTTGTCCTTGTCCCTCAATTCAGACATCCACGATCTTGTTACCGTCGGTGGCTGTGTCCAAGAGTTCCAGGTGCGGTAATCGTGACCAGCTAATTTCTCAGCTGGCCCATCCGTTCCACGACACGACTGCCCATCTCGTTAATAATCTCCAGGGTCAAGCAAGGGGTGTGGCACACGATCGCTAGTTACGATCCCTTCCCCCCCCCCCTCCGAATTATATACCTAAGATAGCATTACCTGAAGGCCATGTTAAACGTAATGGGCAACATATCCATAATGAGCATGTCAATTAACCCCTGTAGACAAAGTTTGAGCGAATTCTTGAAGATTCAAGATACTAGGCTACCTAAGTGAAATGGTCGTTTTCCAACATGATTAACTTTGTTTCAAAGGTGAATTAGCCATCCGTTTTGCACTCAGGACAAAGCACTACTTCTTTGTCCATCTCAGAAATCCCGCTTCAAAAGACCTCCAAACTATGAAATTAGAGGTCGTCCAAAAGCACGTTTTTCCCATTCTCCGCTTTTTGATGGCTGTGCTTTCACCAACTATCACTCACAGCAAAGAACGAATCAGGCTCAAATCACTTCTGTGAAAACTAGGACATCTAGGCTATCGATCTATACAGATATGGTTTGCTAAAATGTTTTTATGGCATACTAGATGGCAAACCCGGCTCCGCCCGGGACCAAACTTTGCACACATACACTTTGGGGCAGGGAGCGTGTCATAGTCTACTTTTTGCAAAAAATCGATAAAATCGATATCGATCGATAACGAAAAGTAGCCTATGACACGCTCCCTGCCCCGAAGTATATGTGTGCCAAGTTTGGTCCAAATCGGTTTAGAAATAAAAATTTCTATTCCGCACATACGTACAGACAGACAGACAGACAGACATACAGACAGACAGACATTCAGCTTTATATATAAGATTTAATGGGGTGTGTCACACCCCCTTGAAAGCTGTGGCTGCCACAGCTTTTGACGGGGTGTGCCACACCCCATCTTATATATAAAGCTGAATGTCTGTTTGTCTGTATGTATGTATGTATGTCTGTGTGTACGTATGTTCCGAATAGAAAATTCCATTTCTGAACCGATCCGGACCAAACTTGGCACACATACATTTCGGGCCCCGGCGGGTGTCATAGGCTACTTTTCGTCATCGATGATATCGATTTTATCGATTTTTTGCAAAATTTGAGCTACGGGGCTAGGAGTTGGCACAGGGGGGTAATCGAGCATGCTGATTACGAATATAACAATGACAGGGCCGGGCGGAGCCGGGTAAGTCAACTAGTTAACTATATGAAAAAACATTTTTAGCGAACAGTATTTATACGAATCGATAGCCTGAACCTCGTAGATTCCATAAGATACGATAGATTCCATACGATTCTCGATTTTTCGGGCAGCTGAGTCTTTTTATTCTTAACCTTATAATTCAAGGTTTATAAGAGCTTTGCAAAAGCAAGAGAGCCATCTTGTAGAGCTTGGTTTGCTCGATTCAATGGTACTTTGCAACCTGTTTAGAAGTGAGAAGTGTATGACTTATTGCGGTTAAAATTCAAAACGGGCATTATTTCCAGACAACTAATAATTGATGGTCCTCAGGTCACTGATAGAGCAATTTGAGGTTGCGAGTAAATACTCATCACTAGCTTTTCTTGGTAGTCGAAGACAGTTTTTGTGAATACGTTCTTTAGGCGGCACGTAGGGCACTTTCGTCCAAACACACATAGCTCTGTAAGCGGCACGAAGGGTATTTTGATTGGGCAAGGAAATATACTTTTGCATGTTTGGGGCAGATCTTATAAATGAGTTTAGGTTCTTAGGTGGCACCTAGGCAATTTGAGGATACGTTGTGAGTAAGAGCTTGGCTTCTTTTTTTCCAGTGAGACAGTAAAATATTTTCTTTATAAATATGTTTTTTCAAGGCGAAATCCAGGAATTTTGCTTTTCGTTTTCCCACCTTTTCGGAGCCTTTTCGTCGTGCTGAAACCATATCTAGGCTTTCTCAGTGCATGAAATTGACTAAAATAAATTAGACCTTCCAGATGTGGTTTTTCGCTCCAAACTTCATTGATAGATTTTAGGTCGTTCCATAAGTTCGTAGCGTTTACATAAACCAACAAAATCATCAATTTTCACAAAAAATCAGCCAATAACGTATTCTTCAACGTAAGCACGACTTTCTACATTCCTGTCTGCTTTTCAATCGCAATTTTTCAATCGGCAGCGCGCCGGGTCCAAAAAAGTCATCCAACCAGCGCTCAGATCACCCACTGAAACTGAAACGTGCACCATTCATAAGGTTTGCGAAAGAGCAGAACAAATGATAATCTAATAGAGCGAGGTTTAAGGAATTTTTTGGGTGCTGAAGTACCTCCTAGTCATTTCTTGCAGGACAGTTTTGACAACGTTTGTCGTATTAGGTCATGTTTCATCACGCAGAAAAAATCACTGAAACTGTTTTTTTGGCTTTTTCTGCGGCATGGCCTCGTTAAGACGTTGCAGTTGGCTTGCATACGGTATGGTCAACCGTCTTCTTCTTGTACGGCAATTTTTGGTGCAAGACGTCCTGCCCACCTCCCGAAAAGTCTTGTTCAGGGACATCCTGCTCAGCCTTCCGTCTTTTGTAGTAATCCCAACATTTTTCTTCTCATAGTGATTGGCGAAGGCCTTGTTCTATAATCGGCAAGAATCTGTGCAAAAACGTTTCAGTTTATAACAAAAAGAATGCGCGAATGCCGAATTGCTCCTTTTTGCCTTTCAAGATTTCCATACTTGGAAGCCAAGAGATCCGAGTAGACCAGCTTTCCACTTGAATTAGTAGGTAGATGTTGAAGAGGATAATCAGCTTTTTCTAGTGATGTACGCATTTTGCCATATTTCATCCACTCCTCAAAGAAGTGAGGACGAAAATGAAAACGCTACGGACTTATGAAACGACCTAATATTATATTTTGGGGGGTCTACTATTGCAACAGTGTAAAATTTTAAGCGGCACGTAGAGCATGTATTTGTTGCCAAAAATTTCGTGCACAAAAAATAGCAACTGATTGCATTTGCCTGAACCACACCAAATATTGCGACAAAATAGCGCAATTCAGTAGTCTTGAATTTGGGAGTGTGGTCTCTTTTCTTTGTAAGATTCAATATTCTTAAAGAAATCCTAACTTGGAGGACTTTTTGACAAGTGTTAAGACAACTGATTTTGTTGCTGTCGAGATTGATTATGAGAAGAAAGCTATGTTGTTCGTAGTATACATGTTATAGATGTCCTCCTGATTCCAAAATGATGTGTGTTCTATTAATTTCCTAACGATCTTACATGAAATGTGTTGAGAGAGACTGTAAAAGCATTTTCGAGAGGGTTAGGGTGGAGGCTTTTTTTATACGAACTAGTGAACCAGTAATCTTAAAGGTGCTAATTGCAGGCGCGCTCGCTTCGGGACCCGCTCGATTTCCCGCTATATGCAGATTTTTAAATGCTCCTTACGATTATTTATATATTAGATAGATTAGATGAGCGTCCATGAGAGGCGGAGGGGGGAGGGAGAGTGAGATCCGGAAAAAGCGTGGTAATTCAAAAAAATTTTCGCCATAATCTCGCGTGGCCATGTTAGGGCTTTCGCAAAATCCTGAATGATTTGTGAAGTTTATCGCTCCTCATGCAGTTCTCCTTTGAAATGCTTTTTCACAAAATGTTCTCAGAAAGGAATAGGGAAATTATGTAGAGGTATTTTTAGCCGCAACTAAAGCTAATATTGCATGCCCCGACCACTTGCTAGCGATCAGTAGTTTCGCTAGTCTTTACCTAGTTTAGATCCTAGAAAGAAAAAGTTTGATCTCTCCGTGGCATTTGAAATTTTGGATAGCTGCAGGATTACCTCTTCAAAATATTTTGCCATTTCTTCCTCCCAAACAATAGAATCTTCGCTAACAATAGAATAAACAATAGAATCTACACCCCTTAACCAATGCCGCTCCAGTTGCATCATTATTATAAGTACTGCTGATGAATCATCTCTGAAATTCCGCGGAGCGATGAACAATTTCAAAACAATCCGTGCAGTGCTTATCAGCAATAGTCATCCTTTTCGTCTCCAGTAATGTTTCGCTAGGATCTATACTCTTTGTACTGAACAATTTCTTTATTGTACAGTTGCCTCATCCCTTTAATGGCTACGCTTTTCTCCAAATTCAGGGATCTCTGAACAAAGTTTTGAAATATGATGTGAAGAAAGAAGCAACCTTTCCTGTTGCCTAGTGTGATTTCCGCTAATACTAAATTTCGCGTTCCCATGCCAAAAGTTCCTAACAGACGGGATTTGTAGAAAAAACCTTGAGGAAGCGCCTGGAGCAATGCCAAAATTTCTTGACAAAATGAAAAAGACATCTGGTTTGCTCAGACAAAATTATTTCTCACGCAACAATAAATATTATGTACGTATGGTTTACATCGACTCCTTTGCCAATATGCAGCATGCTGCTTCTCGCCACCCACAATTCCTTTTTTTCAATATCATTGCGAGTGAACTTTAAAAGCGAAAGATCTGGGAACGTTCTGGACCCGCCGCGGTTTCCCGCCATTGGAAGATTTTTAAATTGAGCTAACGATTCTTTATATACAGGGTGTCCCAAAAAATGTGCCTACTGTTTGATTGTAAATAACTCTCTTGTAATAAAGCGTTTCGGGAAGCTTCAGGTACCATTTTGTAGAGCGAGGTTAAACCTAGATTTACAGTATGGAGCGAATCATCTATCGCTCTTCATTACACTAGGATTACGGTACGAAATTCGATAAAGATTTTAGGCCACTGGAGGCTATATTCTGCCTTGGAACAAAACCAAACAAGCCAAAAACTCTCATACTATGGTAATAAGAGCAGCTGATTTTGAATTTGAAATTCCCATTTTACTGTGATGCTTCTTTTCAGAGTTATACCCGGTAAATCGTAATAACTCTTCCCAGCATTTGTCAGAAATGTAATTACACCTTCAGAAAAGCTGAAAACACTCGTAAAAAGTTATAAGGTGGAATCAGCATGTGAGAAAAGCCTAGTACACAATTTTTCAGATTTTTTGAAGAGAATTTTGTCAGGTGGTATATTTCACATTGGTTTCATATGCTGGAAGTGTACCGTAATTTTACAGTAATGAAAAGCGATAGATGATTCGCGCCATACCGTAAATCTAAGTTTAACCTCCTCTACAAAACGGTACCTGAAGCAGGCAAGCTAAACCTACTTTCGAAAAAAGAAATATGATTTTAGATTGGTTAGAGACAGCATTCGACTGCTTGGCTGGTCGACCGTAGAAGCTGGTAAGACTTGGAACTTTCCAGAAATTACGAGTGGAGAGCCAGATGTGCTAGTGATGCCCACTCATACCAGCTAAACTCACATGAGTTTTGATTGATTTTTATCTAGCATAGGGTTTAACTTTTTGCCTTAAGAAAGGCTCTAACTTCACACAAGGCTAGCAATGTCTGGCAAATATGAGAAATATCGCATTTTATGCAGCCTCTGCTCTTGTACATCTACCAAGTGTTTCTGTTCTGAACAGTTTACTATGTAGCTCCTCAACAAAATAAACTTCCTACTTACTAACGGGAAGCTACCTAACTTAGCTCGGCCTTTTGGCAAGGGACATATATAGTCTGAATCAGCTTCAAACGCTGATTCCAAATATGCCATTCTTAGCTGCCACGCACCATTCCAAAGCGAGTTACTGGCTTTTTCCTGCACAAAATTGGCATGCTCATCGACTCACGGGCATCACGTCATCATCGTTCAAGTGCTGATACACCTGTATAGCTTTTTTTTAGTGAGAAAAGATTGGATTTGTACTATTTCGATACCTCAGCAACTTTTTCTTGCAGATTTTTATCGGAAGGCAGTCTTCTCATGATCAGTAGTATGCCAATATTGCGCAAGAAAAAGCCCATAACTCGCTTCGGAATGGTGCGTGGCAGCTAGGAATAGCATATTTGGAATCAGCGTCTGAAGCTGATTCAGAATATGTATGCCTTTTACCAGAATGCCGAGCTAAGTTAGGTAGCTTCCCTTATAAGATCAAGTCGAATGCACGAAATTCCCACATTCTGCATGCTGAAAGCCCGCGAGTCTGGCGCGCACGATTGCCTCCGGCATGGGTATCAAGCGCCAATGCTAAACTTTCAAGGAAAGTATATTTAGCGACCGTGACCTTGTCATGAGACACGTATCATTGTTTGCGTCCCAAAACGCTGATCAAATCCGCTTTTGCCGTCTTCTAGGCGATTTTCTGAATCAAGTAAACTTTTTTCCGCAAGATTTTTGCACACTAAGGCCCGTATGCACGTACATCCCCGCGGGGAGGGGAGGGGATCTGAGAGGGGAAGCGCCATATCTCGCTACTGCAGATATCTTTCTTCCTTCTTCTTTATCTTGCTTATAAAGGTTCTCATACCCTTATACCTGCGCATAATGGATGCCAGGTTACTGCTCTACAAGATTAAATATTCAGTATTTCTTCCGATCCCCTGGGGATCCCCAGGGGATCAGACGAAACAGTGAATATCTAATCGTACATGGCAGTAACCTGGCATCCGTTATGCGCAAGTATCAGTGTATGAGAACCTTCAAAAGCAAGACAGAGAAAGAAGAAGAAAGATACATAGACTAGAGAGATATGACGCTTCCCCTCTCAGATCCCCTCCCCTCCCCGCGGGGATGTACGTGCATACGGGCCTAAGGCCTAAGGCATACCTCGCGCAATTCCGATCGCTGCGCGATTCGGCACAACAGCGACTCTTCGTAATTCGTCCATGCGCTGTCTTTGGTCGGAACTTGCTCCGTTTGCAACAGCTTACGCAAGGCCCCATTTAAATCTACACAGTCGGCTGCGCGGGCGGTCGCGTCGCGCACCTACTTTGTGTGCTTGGGTCACGCTTGTTCAGGTCGCGCTCAGGAAAGAACATCTCACTGTCATTCAGGATAGAAGTCATTCAGGAGTGAATGCTTTTCATTCCGAGTTTGATTTCCCTTACTGCACTTGCACCTTCTTTATATTCACCTTTTAACCTCTCGATTACCTGAACCTGTGCAGGATCTTGGGTTCAGGGTGTGACGCCTCAATTTGACTAGGCATGTACATGACAACCCAAGTGCGGAGAAGTGTCGAATCGGATCCGAAGACCGGATTAGCGCGATGTCTAAGAGGATCAAAGCATTTGAAACTTTAGTATCAAGAAGTTTTCTTTTGCTGTTTCCATATAAGCGCATATTCACTGAAAGTTTTCAACTGCATTCACCTAGCCAACTAATCTGTTAGGATCTGAGTTTGTTTCCATTTGCTTTTTGCTTGGAAATGTTTGCTATGCTATCGTCCATTCTGGGACTTGGATGACTACTATGCTTTGCACACGTCTAACTAAAGAGTTAGTACATGTGCTTCATCTCCCTTTGAATCACTGGGCGTGGCAGGAGTTCCCAAAGCCTAGCCGCTTTTCCTCGCAGGGGCACTTTGTACCTCCAGTGGCCGTATTCATCAACGAACCCAATGGGTTCCGGAATCCATTGGGTTAGTGCTTTTGATAAATATCGATTCTACTCCAGGGTAGAATCGATATTCATCAAAAGACTAACCCAGTGGGCCGGAACCCACTGGGTTCGTTGATAAATACGGCCACAGAAATCCCTTGAAGGACATCACACTTACTCGGGGACATAAGGCGGCTCCGCCCATCACTCTTCCCCCTGCACGTCCTCCGAATCACTGTACTTGGAACTCGAAAGACATAGTTCATCAGCTGTCAGAAACATGCGACCGTACTCCTGACTATTTTATTCACAGAGAAAATGATCATACATTCTGAGACTAAAAGACTCGAGCACGCTTTGCATACACTGTCTAAACAAGCTCGACTGTGTGATTATACTTGTGATCTAACTATCTATTTACTACTCTGAACTAGGGAAGAACAAGTACCTAACTATACAAGTAACAAGTACCAAGTACAAAAGCTTGTTGAGACAATGTGCAAAGCGTACTCGAGTTTCCTTTTCAGAATAGATTATACTTATATCTTCGACACAAAACGTGATAACTTCAGGAACGTGCACGTTGTACCAGAGTCAAACGCAAAACACGATGACCCCATCAAAATTAGCGTCCCAGCAACCTAAGCAACGCTAACATGACCAGAGGAGCTTCCTTAAAATTGAGCAAAAAAGACAAAACTAATCAACCCTTTCTCCTATGGTTTTTGACGTGAAAAAAGTTCGTCTGGGTAGCGTAGATCTCAAAAGCAAATTGGGCATGCCAAACATCCATTCTTGACTCTTGAAACATGCTATCTGATCTCGTTGGCATAGCCTAGACTTAGATGAGCAAATAACATAACAAAGAAAACAAGAACAAAATCACACAGATCTCGGCCGAGAGCTCGGTCCACCATCACTCCATTTTGCTTGCAGATGTATGAACCCTTCACACTCTTCTTCAAGTCGGTGACAGTGTCAAATATAAGAATGCAGCACTATTATTCTCACCGCTAGAGTGAATTTCTCGAAGAAAGCATGAAGTGGTTTTCTGGCATAAGTGTCATCATGATGTGACCCACCAAGCGTGACCCGGTGACAAAAGCTGCGCGCGCGACGCGACCGCCCGCGCAGCCGACTGTGTAGATTTAAATGGGGCCCTTACGCAAGCTACCCTAATATGCGCCCGAGAAGCGCGCACGATAAATTTGTAAAAATCTGGCAAATTGCAGCCGCGTGAAAGTGGCGATTCGGCAAAATCGCGACGATATCGCCTGGCAAGCTATGAACGCCGAAAAGTGTGGGGCGATCCGTCGCGCCGCGCAGCCATCACAAACGCGTCGGGACCCACACACTGAACAGCGTGGCGTGGAACACTTGTCCAGAATGAAGGGCGCGACGCGACGAAATCGCATGAGCTCTGCCCAGGGCCTAAAGCATAGTCAGAATCACTGGTATGGTTTTTTGAGGGTGAGACAACTGAGACAGGTTATTCTAACAGTAATTCCGTTCTTCTTCAAATGTTCCTTCGAGGGCGAAACAAGAAATTTAAGCGATGTTCAAGGATTATTCGAAATTTTAAGGACTTTTGAAGTTATTTCAATTGTTTACAGTATAAACAAGTCACTTACACACTTTTATAAACCGTGTGAGTACCTTCAAGAACTTCGCGACCATTCTTGAGGGAGGGGCCCTCCCCTCGTCCTCGACCGCCACTACCAATGGAGTAGCTGCTTCGTTATTGTACAGCTGCCATTGTCTTCCTAGGCTCAGTTCACTCCTAAAAGGCAGTGTCCCGGCAGAATTTCGTTTTCCTTTTGACCCTTTCTGAGGCTTTTCGGCGTGAAAATGGCGAAAATAAGCTTTTTGCGAAGCTTTTCAAGTCGCAGTCAGTGGAGAATACGTGTAGTGGACGGAGTCCGGAGCGCGTAAAACTTCCGGCGTATTTTGGATGCGGACCTGGAAAGTTTCGAAAAAGGCTCAGTTACGCCATTTTGTTGCGCTGAAAAGCCCAGATATGGGTTCCTCATGGCGAGAATGCTCAGAATGTGAAAGACTGGAAAGCGAGATTTTGCCGAGCTGCCTTTAATTGAATAGCGCAGAAGACGTTTTCGCGACTGTCAAAGACTTCGCATAACCGACGAAAGTTGGTACGAGAGGCTGGTGGCACTCCCGGCAAACATCTACGACTCTGGAACCCGTCTGGATATGGTCCATGCAGCTGAATCGTTTGCAATCACCTTTTCTTGGGGGCTGGGCTTTATGCATTGTCCCAGATTTACTAGCGAAGACAATTTTCGTGGAACTAGCAATAACATACTTAGCAGGCATTGGACGGTAGTTCCAAAGGTCCTCCCTTTTGCTCTTCTTAGAAAGAAGGAGGGTTCTTGCAATTTTCCACTGGTCGGGAATCCTTTACGTCTGAAGGTAAGATGTTAGATGCAACGCGAGAATCTTGTGCAGACGTTGTTCTCCGGCTCGCAGAAGTTCCAGAAGATGACCTGGTCTTGGGACCGTGGGATCTTCATGGTCTAGATCGCGGTCACAAGCAGGTAGTAACCGTGGTCATACTTTTTCAGAGGGAGTAACGAGCATCGGCGTGGGTGTTGATGAGTGGAAGAGGTTGGTTCACAAATTCTTCGGGATAACATCTTCATTCGTAGTGTTGCCAGCGACGTGGTACTCACAAAAACCATTTCGGCACTTTCCAAAACTCCGTAATAAGGGATCAATTTTGCAAAAAGTTCCGAAGAAGTGGACTTTGCTCTAATCGTTCAGCTCAATGCGTCAAAAACCATGTGATTGCGCAAGTTTATCGTGGTTTATGTCATTTCCGAGATAGTCAGCAGCAGCTTGTTTGCTGACCGGGTTCAAAGTAAAAACAGCCCATTTATCAGCGCTGGCGCCATCGGTGATGACCAATGTCTGCGTCTCTCGCCGTTCGTTTGTGCAGAGATGCAGAGTGAGCTCCGCTTCGTTGCAGTTCGTTCCCCGTGTTTTTTTCTGGTCATTAGTGGATTTCCTTTTAAGGGAAGATTTTTGAAATTTTAGAAATCCCTGGACAACTTCATTGTGGAAAGTCGAAATTTTGAAGCCCTGGGAGTTCTTTACTCGTATCTGCCTTGTGTACTGGCCAGTTGAGCAATGCTACTTTCTCCTCTTCGTGTGGCCAGAAGTTCCTTAATAAGGCTCTCTTCTTGTAGAGGTTCGCTTGCTATTTTTGAGAAAATTTGTCCCTAAGTTCGGTATCATTGCCTTCAGAAAACGCTTGTAAACAAATTGTAGCTGTTATTCTTCTGGCGTGGCAGAAGGTCAGTAGTAATGTTTTGTCAACTTAATTACTCAATGGGTATTACAGTAACAGTCCCTTCCTTTTTCTTGTAATGGTTTCGTAAATTTGAGGCATTTAGCCATATCTCCTTGGTTCTTGTAAGATTTTTATCTGACAAATTCTTCTCGCCAAAACATTTGAAGGGCACACAGACATTCGTCAGGATGACAGCGTTGAAATTCTTATTGGTGACAAATCAGTTGTGCATAACATCATAATAGGCTTCATGGTCTTGCTTCTCGCTTTCTCGCTAGTGTACCGTACTTTCGTATTTTTTTTTATGGGCAAGATCTAAGCGAACCTTTCTTATATGAAAAGTTCAGCCTAAAGAAGCAACTAGCAACTTTTATAACCAACGCAACGCAGTTTTTGGAACTATTTAGAAATCACCTTATCATAGTTGCTTATGTATCCTCCGCCTGTAGTGTCATTGTTTTTGTATCGTTCGACACTCTCAAGTCATCAAAGTTCTATCCCGTCGGCTTATCTGTGTTCCTGGAATGTCCTTTAAAAGGCAAAAAATTAATCAGCAACCATCTAGTGGATTTTGCTGCGATGTTGCGTAGGGTTTAACAATTTTTTTCTTTAGATGCTCGCTCAGGCATCTGACAGAACTCTACTCTTCGTATCTTTGCTGTAATTCTGAGCACGCGCTGTATTGAGCCCCTTTTTTTTAAACTAACCTTAGACTACTTGTGCATGTGGAATCTAGGCAAGAAACTCATGAAAATCCTTGTTGAAATTTAGAACTTTCCGGTTCATTAGAATGTAAATTATTTTCCATTCAGCGTTACTGTGCCAAGTGCCTGCGATTCGCTCTTCACGAATAGGACTAGCTGCCTTCTCTAACACTGGTGCGGGTTTGGTTTTCCTCATACCGCTAGTCTCAGCTTATCTCATATCACCCTAGAATTTCTCACTACGCTCGCATTGCTGTGTTAATCAGTTTGTTAGTGTTCTCTCCGTGAATCGGTGGCCGTTTTCAGGTGTTGCTAAACTACATTCTACTCTAGTCGTTGATAGACTCAAGATGGATAGTTGTCCTGCCCCAATAAAGGAAAAATATGAACGTTTACCTACATTCGCTGTCCCGGAACACTACGAGCTGAAAATTGTTCCAGATATGAAGAAGTAAGTTTTTGCAACATTTTTCGAATAGTATCGCGCTTCCGTTTACTCGAATCTCTCCATTTAGTTTTTCATTCACTGGCACCGTAGATCTCAGAATTCGCTTACTGTCGGCGACTGACGTAATAAAGCTACATATGATGACAATAAAGATAGACGGAGCGAAAGCAATAATGGAGGACGGATCCGGTACATAACTTAATGTAGTCAAAATTTGAAATTTGAAGTAATCTTATTTAGTCAAGAAGGATTTGCGACATACTTATGATCCCAAATTTAACATCGTTACATTTGAGCTTGGGACGAAAGCTAACCCGCAAACGGTGCGTCTTGATCTATCGGACCCTCTATAAATTCAATACCAGTTTTCCAGATGAATCTTTCGATTGAATATACTGGAGAAATTAATGACAAAATGCGCGGCTTTTACAGAAGCTCATACAAAAACGAGCAAAATGAAGAGAAGTATCTAGCATCAACACAGTTTGAAGTGAGTTTCTTTCTCTAAGCTTTGCTATATTTACGCAACAGTGGCGCATATTTATTTTCTAGTCTACTTACGCTCGATATGCATTTCCATGTTTCGACGAACCCATCTACAAGGCCACATATGATATCTCAATGGTAGTTGATCCTGGAATGACGGCACTTTCAAATATGGTACGTTTTTGAGAATTGGCTAGTAATGACGTTTTTACACATGTGGAACTACTCTGTTCAGCCTGTTGTTTCTGCCACTCCTTGTGATTTTCATGGTACGAAGAAAGTATGGGTGAAGTTTGATCGGACACCACAGATGTCTTCTTATCTTGTTGCTTTCGTTGTTGGAGACCTGGATTACATCCAGGTAGAACAGATTGATTCATAAAATCGCTTCACAGTAATACTTGATTCAGACCTCATCAAAAAGCGGAACTATAATAAGGGTGTACACTGTTCCCGGCAAGCGATGCCAAGGAACGTTCTCACTTGATCTCGCTGCAAAGTATGCATTTTCCCTCATATCTGTCTCGTTGCTTGATTATTCGCATTCAGGGCCATAGACTGGTACAATGACTGGTTTGGCATTGACTATCCTCTGCCGAAATGTGATCTCATTGCGATCCCTGATTTTAGCATGGGTTCGTACTCTTTAAATATGAAGTTCATTCATTCATTTATTAGATACGCTCTAGGCGTTCCGAAACATTGACAAAAATGTGTCAGTAATACATGAAACACAACAATAATGAGCATTTCACCACATCTAGCTTATGAGAGAAAAGATTGTGTTTAGTTTAGAAGTTCGCCTTTAGTAATCTTCACTCCTATTTAGGTGCCATGGAAAACTGGGGCTTAGTTGTCTACCGAGAGGTGGCACTTCTAGTCGATCCAACCAAATCTTCAACTCGTCAGAGATCTCGCGTTGCGTTAGTTGTTGCTCATGAACTTGCTCACTTTTGGTTCGGCAACCTAGTCACAATGGTTTGTGGTTTATCTGTAAAAAACCTTACTCAATAATTCAACATTTTCTTAGAAATGGTGGACAGATTTGTGGCTCAAAGAAGGCTTTGCTTCGTTCATGGAGTATCTATTTGTTGGTTACAATTGCCCTGAGTTCAAGATCTGGGAACACTTTGTGAATGATGAGTTGGCACAAGGATTTAACCTTGATGGCCTACGCAACAGTCACCCTATAGAGGTACATTTGACCAACTATTCTTTGCATGTAGGGACTAAACTTTTTGCTTAGGTGGAGATCGACAATCCTTGCGAGCTTGAGGAGATTTATGATAATATCACTTATGCGAAGTCCAATGCCATTAATCGCATGCTGTTCTACTACCTTGGCGAACCAACGTTCCAAACTGGTTTACGATTGTACTTGAAGAAATTCCAGTATGATAACGCGGTGACCATGGATCTTTGGGAATCTTTGGGAGAAGCATCCGGACAGGTGCGCTTTGAGAGTTTGTGACTCGCTGTTCTCTAATTCTTGTCCAGGATATTGCGAAACTCATGTCGGGATGGACAAAACAAATGGGCTATCCAGTCATATCAGTAACGGATAAGCAGCAAGGCAAGAGCAGAATTCTATCCCTTTCTCAGCGACGATTCTTAGCTGACGGAGGAGAGGATTCCAGCAATCCGTTGTGGCAGGTCCGCCAGAATATCGACCGTTCTTACTTTATTAGCAGCTTTTAGGTACCCGTAAATGTTTCCGTGGGATCGAATCCAGAAGAAGTCAAAGGAAAGTTCCTCCTCGTTGATAAAGAACAAGAAATTGAGGTGCCGAATGTTGAAGAAAAGGAGTGGGTTAAGGTAAGCCTTGATTTACTCGCTTTGATCTCTTCTATCTCTATTCGTTTAGTTGAACGCTGGTTCAACAGGATTCTACCGAGTCGAATATAGCCCCGAAATGCTAAATGCAATGATACCAGACATCTCTACTGCCAAAATGCCGCTTCTAGATCGTTTTTCAGTCGTTAACGATCTTTTCGCCTTGGTAAGTAGCCAACGAGGGATTGCTCCGACGTTCATGAGGACTATTTAGGTGCAAGCCGGTCGTGCTAAAGCTTCATCGTTCCTTTCGGTCTTAGCAGCCCTTCAAAACGAAGAAGAGTATATTGTATGGCAGTGTCTTGCTGGCGGAATTGAAGACATCGCGAATGTTTTGAACTATGTTGATGGTCCCATCTCCAAGCGGTAAGTATGATTTTGTTACCAGATGTTTAGAAAAACAACTAGTATGCTGTTAGATTCAACTCTTTTGTAATATCAACAATGGCTGGTTTGGGCAGGAGAATCGGATGGGATTGCCACGATGGAGAAGGTAAGCGTATTGATTTGAAATGCGATCTACATTTATCAATTTTTCATGTTTAGTCCCCACTCAGAATGCGTATTTCAGATTCTCAGCGTGGCATTCTTCGAGCGGTAGTGCACGGTCGTTTGATGAGAGCTGGTAATGATGAGACCATCGAAAAGGCCATGAGCCTGTTCTCCGATTACATGCATTCGAAGCGACCTCTGCATCCGGACCTACGTCTTTGTGTCAGTGCAATGGGCCTTTCTTTGGGCCCTTTTTCTGAACTAAAACTATCGGATGTTTCAGATCTTCACAAGTGCTATCCGAAATGGCGGAGAATCAGCTTTCAGCCAATTACAACAGATTTATGAGAGCGTAGGATTCCCAGAAGTTGAAAGGAACTGTATGACAGCATTGTCTCAAACGCAAGATCCTGCTCTTCTCCAGCGACTTTTCAAATACGCTATTCAAGATGTGGGTCAACATATCGTTAATAATCTTCTTTTTTAAAGACTTTCAATAGTTGCTTACATGATCATTTTACCATCTTGAGCTCATGAATATTATTTTAGTGAAAAGTTATTTAGGGAAAATGTCGTCCTCAAGACCATATGCTGCTCTTCTACGGTGCGAGCGTGAGCAGAGTAGGCCAGGAGTTTTTGTGGCAGTATATGAAGGAGAACATAGGATTCTTAACGGAAAAGTTTGGTGGAGTAGGATCATCCCTCTTCCAGGTCTGTTTTTGTTTCACTTCACAGTAAATTATACTAAGAGAGTCGTAGCACAATATTCTAGAGATGCTTGAAGTTAGCAATTGAACGGCAATGTACGGAGGAGTTCGCTCAGGAAGTGGAGGTATTTTTTATTTCTCGTTATTAGCTTACAGTCTACCATCAATTCTTCAGGGTTTCTTCTGCAAAAGTTTGTCACCTGAGGATATGCAAACGTTAAGTCGACCTCTCAAACAGGTAAGGAACATGATGTGCTACTATTATGATGCGTCTCCAAGAAAAAATTGCAGGCAACGGAATCTGTGCGACTGAACAAGAATTTATTACAATCGAATCTTCAGGACATCGATGAGTTCCTTAAATCTCAAGGCGTTTGAAATTTGATAAAGAAAACTTACCTTACTTGCATGCAACTATTCTTTTTACAATGTTATGGGTATTGTATTTGTCTGCTTCGTGTTAATATGACTTGATAAATCACTAATAAGGAGTTGTTAGGGTCTGTTTTTGTGTACAAGACGAAAAATATGCAGGGATATTCTCGCTTTGGATACATTGCAGCAGAATCTTTTCTGCAGGGTCTTTAGTGCAGGTGAGAATGGGTCAAACATTTTTTCGCAGCTCATCCAACGAAAGCTTTTCAATGCGGTGCCCGAAAAAAACTGCAGTTGGGAAATTTTGTAGCCGAGTTGGTCCCGCGAGCTATCGATCTCTATGGCGGAGCTCCAGCCTCGAATGAGGAAAGGTCTGGATTGTGTTGTGCTGCAAGAACTTAGCGATAAGCTTAGGAGAGGGTGTATACGATGAAGGAATTAGTGATGAGCTTTTATCGAGCCGCTGTTGCCATTGCTGCTCGTCAATAATTTGATGCTTTTAAGAAAGGAATGAGCTTGAACGAACTCAAAGGAGAAAGCATGTGAAGGCACTGTTCGGGTGAATTTGGGTGTAGGACCTTTTAAGGGAATACTGTGTGTCATTACTTGAGTCAACGCTTGGTCGACAACTCCTACCATTCTTCCGTAACGGAGAAAATCGAGAAATATGCCCAGCCCAGCTTTATAAAACTCTAAATGGTCTGCAGGGTTCACAGCGTAGGCGAGAGTTTGGTGTTGAATTCTCGGCCCAGGTACATCACATGAGCTGCGACGCAAGCAATGACAGTCAAGGCCTTCCAAGCAAATTACACCCTAGAAAATTGGGTTGGTACACTTTAGAAATTTGACATGATAATGGCCATGGCCTGATGACATCTGTACGAAACCAAGAATGTGAATTTCTTTGGCTCGCTTACGAATTGCACATAATGATTATGGAACATAGTGTAACGTAAATGATGTCGGCAACCAAAGAAGATATGTCAACCGTTTTTACGCTATATCCACTTTAGTACCTGAACACTGCTTTCTGTTGAGACGAGAGACATATTTGAGCCATCTATGAGAAACATTTTGTGTTTTTAGTAATGAAAAGCATTTGATAAAAAGACATCTAGATATGAACACAAGGAATTGTTATGTTACATAAAAGAGCAAGAGATTTGCAGCGTTTGCAAACATCAATGGGCAAACCGGACATAAGAACTTTTGAAAATCTCGCTACTATTTCTGGGAGCAGAAGCCTTCACTTCACAGTTGAAGTTCACAGAACGTTCTTGTATGAATTCACAAACATATCTGTACTGACGGCCAAGACAGCGCCTTGTTAGACCCGCACATCGTTGTACTGCATTTAGAAAAATTGTGATTTTTTTTTTCAGAAGTTAGCCTGTTCAAAAAATCTTGGGATGCTTCTCAAAACTCCCGAAAGATGTTTTTACGAGCTGAATTTTTAAGGTTTTTGAAAAATTATTTCGATTACCTACAGTTAAATAGGGTCATTCCCCTAAGGTAGCTATAATATCGTATAAAGTTCGTTCAGGGTGCAAAAACTATGTCATCCGCAGGATTCGAACCTGCGCCCTCCGAAGAGGACTGCGACCTGAACGCAGCGCCTTAGACCACTCGGCCAGAATGACTCCGCTCTCAGCACATCAAATGAGTTCACCACGTTAGTCAGAATCTAATTAGTATTCTTCGGATCAGCTTGGATGAGCTCCAGCAGATCTGTTCCTGTGTCACGCTTTGTTGCTAAAATTTATGAAACGAATAAGTATTCCACCGCCAAAATATTGGTTTAGGTATTAAGATCTTGCATCAACATTTTTAAAAGAAAACCCTTAATCCCTCCACGTTCAAGCTAGGGAATAATATAATTTGGAACGAGAAAACCTTCCACTTTCTAACTGTTCTCAGAGCAAGAATCATCATTGTCATATTGCGGCAACAGAGCTTTTGAATGCAACGCTTGAATTGCAATTTTCCAACTTTCATTCTGCAAAAATGTTCAAAGAACCACAGATTGTCAAATTTACTTCCAGAATCTACGCTTTCTAATCAAAACAAATTTATGCTTAGGACGTTTTTAGAAGTTGTAATTTTGAATTTTTTATTTACGAGTTGATATTGTTTGAAATAAAATCTCGTGCACCATAAAATAATGCATAAATCATACACAACGAAAAAATACTATACAGCTTAAAGCGCTGCTCTGAGTATCTTTAGTTGAATTTTTTTGGAATTCTTGGTGGAAGTCTTATATTCCACCCTAATATTGAAAACTGTAGATGTTCGAGGTTGCGTGAATCTCTAAAACCTACCTAATACTATGCCAGAAAGAGCCTTACGGTAGCCACTACTGTAGATTTACGTCGAACGACAAGGAGCACTTGTTTTGTAGATTGCGATAATTCTACAGCGGAACTCTAAACATCAATGCGCTGCTGAACATATTAGATACAGGGTGTCCCAAAAAAATGTATCGAACGTTTGATCGTTAATATCTCTCTTCCCAAGAAGTCTTTTGCCTTGCTTCAGGTACCGTTTTGTAGAGCTGGCTTCAACTTAGATTTGCATTATAGAATGAATCACCCACCTCTCTTCATTACTGTAGGATTACGGTAGAAACTTGAAACATATGGTGTCAATGTGGAAAAAGCTGCAGTTTCAAAATTTTTCAAAAAAATGTGAAAACTTGTGTATTGGGGTTTTTATAGAAGCTGAGTTCAATACTCGACTATTCACAAAATTACAAAGCTTTCAAAACGGTGTAATCGCACTTTTTAGGAACATTGAAAAAATGGCCGCTACCTCTTACCTGGCATAACTCTTCAATGAAACATCATAATAAGTTGGGAACTTTACAGTTATAATCAGCAACTCTAATTAGCCTAGTGTAAAAGCTTTCAGGCTGTTTTATCTCCTTTCTAAGGCAAAATATGGCCTTTCATTGCTTAAAACCCTCTTTGAAGTTTCTACCGTAATCCTACAGTAATGAAGAGAAATGAGTGATTCGTTCTATAATGCAAATCTAAGTTGAAGCCGGCTCTACAGATTGGTACCTAAAGCAAGAGAAAAGACTTCTTTAAAAGAGAGATATTAACGATCAAACGTTCGATACATTTTTTTGGGACACCCTGTATACACTTTAAGAGAATGCAAATGATTTTATTCTATTCATCTAATCTTTGACTCGTGGCTCGAAAAGAATACGATTCCGTAATTTAACACGTTTCAGACCGCGAAATCGCGCGCGGCGAAAAAGAGTGTACTTTCAGCCGTTAGCCTACAAAGGGACCTTATTTCGCAGCCTATGGGCCACATTTGTAATCAGCATGTCAGATAAGCTCCATATCCAAAGTTCTGAGTGAAATCGAAGTGTTTGCATTTTGTCGCTTGAGAGGGACTTTTGTCTTTTGTGCTTTCTTGAAAGATAGGAACAAGAACTCAGATTCTAATAGTATTCAAAAGTATCTATGTTGGACACGGTACACATCAGTATCAAAACTACGGTTTTTCTCCTTGATATCAAAGCAAAGGAAAGTTGCGACGTCGCACGCGTCGTTCGCGTCGCCGCACTTCGTTGGAACTGTTGTTCGATTTGTGCTCATATCTCCTAAACAAATATCGGCGGCACAACTATACAGAGTCATTTGAGAAGTAGGAGGTTAGACCTTTAACTTAACAACTTCAGACTAAAAGGAACCTTCTGCAAACGCCAGAAAGATCCCTCAAAGCAGCGTGCTGCACCATGTGCAGCACCGGTCCGAAACGTGTTAAGCCAGTTTGTGCTTAGAGATTTGAGTCAACTCATTACATATGGACAACGATGGAAAAGCTTATGCCTAGATTTTTTGTAAACTCTTCCCACTGAAAGAGCAAATCGGAGAAAAAATTCGAGCTTTCTGCGTCTTGAGACAGTTTTTGGCCAACATCGCATTTTGGAAACTTCGCGAATCAAATATTAGGGTTATATTTGGTAAGATGCCATCCACGCACTGACAATAGCTTATGAAATTTTGGTAGTTTAACTTTGCGGATTTCGAAGCCCCATGGAAACTTCCCACATCTTCAATCTCTTTATGTAAAAAAGGTTTTTTCGCCTTCAAACGTGCCAAAGTTCCCCTTGTTCACTTTATTCTTCTGTAAAACGCAGGTAAAGCACTTTTGCTACAAAAAATCTCGATCTTACTTAAAGCATGAACCATTTTATTTTACTCACGTTTTCTTATACTCTCGGTCTTCTACTCTCGCTCAAAAAATTTGGGAGTTCGTGCCTGGATCTCTCCTGATCTGAAAACTTCTCTGCAACATTAGCGTTCTTCACACTCTCTTCGAGCCTTATTATTTCTATTTTCTCTATAGATCAGGAATTATATGCAAATCTTCAAAACCTGCTATTCTAATCTTTAGTGAGAAAGGCATTCAAGATCACTGGGGTCTTGTGCCGTTTTATGGTCTGCACTGCGCTCGATAAGATGATTTGGGCTGCTTTACAGCTCATCGAATTTTACCGAAGCCACTTTTATGTCAAGTGCTCAAGAAGCTTTTTTAACTTGTGATTAAAAGTTGTACTTTTGTATCAGCAATTTTTCATAGGAAAATATCTTATTAACTCATAAGTTCTAGAGTGTATTTCTCTACTGAGCATTTTTCCCTTAGAAAAATATCCGAGGTTCAACTCGTTTTTCATTGGAGAGCTCCTGCTCCGACTACTGTGCAGATTTTGTTGCATTTGTAAAATCGCAATTATCGTTAGCTCATTTTTGGTAACCTTTCCATCTTTGGGATAACTTCTACGTTTTTAAAAGTTTTTTCCTAGTCCAAAGATTTATTATCTGCAAAGTGGACTGACATGCAAAACATTCTCATAAAATATGTGAGTACAGCTTCTTAGTGGAATATGAATTGGTAATCAAATATATAGTACATGAATAGTGTGTAAACACAATCAAAATGAAGTGTCACGAAACTAAAGTTTTGGTTTCTTCTGAATATTGATCTACACATAGCGAGAGATTTCTAGAAAACAATACTATGTGACATCAGCAATCGCTTTGAATCCGTTAAAATTCGAACAAATTGTACATATCAAGCGATTTCAATATATCCTCCGGCTGAACAGCGGCTGTCTTTTTCTTCGATTTATTATGATGCCTTCTTGTCTTTCGTTTGGTTTCGTTTTGTCGAGGTTTCTTTCCCGTACTTCGTTTACTGCGAAAACTCCTGCAGATCTGAAATCGAGAATATTTGTTTGAATCACGTCCTGTAATTCAAAAGATAATTACTTTGTAAGTAGCTCGCTCAGCTTTATCCTTGTACTTCTCAAATGGTGTGCAATTATGTGGTAGATGACACGGATCTACGTGGAATGTAGTATTCATAACCTATAATGCTACCCTATAGTCATCTATAGTTACTGAAGGATTCTGACTTACATAAATCGGAGTATACTTTTTCCCTTGCCTTCTGCATCCATTGCATGTGTATATAGAATCGCCCTTTCCTGTTTCCTTTTGATATCCAAAGACATACCGTTTCGATGAACCAGGAATATCATAGAAAATAACATGGTGTTTTCCTGGTTTGCTCACTTCTTTCTCTCCATAGACTACTTCTGTAGGAGGAATAATGGCATCCTGCTTCGCCTGTAACTCCTGGCTTGTGGTCTGAAAACAGTGGAACTCAACGATTAGCTACGAAAAACCCAGAAATAATAATAGGTTATTCAATCGCAAATTACCTGAAGAGGTACGGAATCCAAACAGTAATAGGTCGCTTCGCGTTTATATACATCTGAGTACAAAGTTTCAATAGACATTATGACATCGCGTACGATTACTCCACGGCTTTTTATATGGTTGTTAATAATTTGATGTCATGGCCCAATATCTCCTGAAAGGTCATGGGTCATAACTTGCTTGCTAAAATTTTGCTCTGAGTACTGACCGTGAGCTATGCAGTTGATAATCAGCACTTGAGGCCCTGATCATGGGACTCACCCAGGGCACAAGGGCACCTTTCCCATTTAAATTTGAGCGCAGAAATTTTCGCAATGATTTTGAAAAATTATGCAGCAGCGTGTTATATTTGCGACCGATTAAATTGGATTGCCCCAAAAGTAAACTCCTTTTCAAACAAGTAGGCTCACAGTATCATTTGATAGAGCGATAAATGTCCACAAAATGACCACCAAAGATCCATCTAAGTCGCATTGCATGTAAAATTTGAAGCCAAAATCGAAAAAGAATTTGTGATCTAAAAATTGGATTTTTGCGATTTTTCCTACGGACTCAACTTGGTCATTATACAGTAGGCACAAGTAGTACTCAAATGTGCCTCTACTGGATTTTTCCCGAGCATGAAAGCGAGAAAAGTACAAAAATGGCAAACTCCGCCCCCAGCTCCTCCCACAGATATCATCGCATACTACAAACCCTTGGAATTTCAGAGTAGTTGAAAAATCTCGATTTCTAGCTCCAAATCTTACAATCTGGATCACGACTCAAATGCCCTTTTGGTGGTGTTTTTGAAAGCTTGCTCCGCTCTACGAATGGTACCCTAAGGTTGTCAGGAAAACAAAAACAGCTCAGTTTATCTTGAGCTTACTTTTGGGACAATATAATAAAATATGAACTTTGTAAGAGTCAGATTGACTGAGCAGATTCTGTAAGCGTGGGTCTCTAGGGCAGCGGCCCAGGAGTTCCCAAAGCCTCGCCGCCTTTCCTTGCAGGGGTACTTACAAGGGAATGGTCAGAAGTCGAAGTCGCCAATCTAAACAAGCTGCATACCATTCGATGCAGCATAGAACGCTGATTACAAATCTGTCTTCCGTATCTGCAGAGCGCCATTGTAGGCGAAGTTATAAGCCGTCAAAAGTCATTATTTTGCTAAGAAATTGTGCGTGTGAGGGGCAAACTTGGCCGTACAAAGCCATTCTCGGCTCAGTGTTGGACCAAAACATGCAACTAAGTTCCTTTATATGGTTCGTACCTAAAGGTGAGCTAAAAGAGCAATGATGTGCCTAATTTCGCAGTTTTTGTGTATGAATTTTCCGCAGTAAAGCTGCTCATAACTTCGCCTACAAAGGCGCTCTGCAGATACGGAAGACAGATTTGTAATCAGCATTCTATGCTGCATCGAATGGTATGCAGCTTGATTGGATTGGCCACTTCGACTTCTGACTATTCCCTTGTTAGCACCCCCAAGGCGTCCTCGCACTTCTCAGACGGCTCCGCCCATTTGCCCCGCCCACTGGCTAATTTCATTGCGAGTTGTGCAGGTTCGGAGAATACTTCTCAAGTGTTATGGATGAATAATGAAGGATGGGAAACAGACTAGAGTTTATGAGATCTACCATTTGGAACATGTTGCCTTTACAATATACGAACGCGAAATTTACTACTGAGAGATCTTTTGACCATGATGCATTAGTGTGGGCATCACATTGTCAGAAAATTCCTTTTTCGACTTTCAGCCGAGATAAGTGTACATATACGTTTGGTTGAAAGTATGTCTATTGAGCAAGTTGCAAGTGTCCCAAATGTCTGACGGACTTTCGACTTTTTCGATTTTTCGGTCAGTTGGATTTTTCTAGTTTTTGGTTACAACTTCGTATAGCTCAAATTTGATGCAAATAAAATACACATAGGATCACAGAATCTCTATAAAACTGAAAAAATATGACACTTAATGTCTATCTACTATACTTATTACATCGATGCAATAGTTTCGTCCAAATCAGAGGGAATCCGATAATTCACTAAAATCCAAACCTAGATTCATGGCTTGTTCAAGACGTGAGTTTTGCCCTTCAAGATAGTTACCCAATATCAACTTTTCGTTGGCTATCCTCAAAGACAAAGAAACAGGCTTCTAAAGATTGCACTTCAAAGTTCGTAATTTTGAGTTTGGTATTGAATAGTATCAAAGTGCCGAAAGCATCCTCAAGAAATTTCTGGGATGGTCATAGCAATCTTCCGTACGTGGCAAGCTTTGACCTATGGTAATGTGGAAACACAGAAACTGTGAAAAATATTCTTTTGCAGAAAATTACCTCCTTACCAAAAATATCACTCAGTGCTAACTTTGAGTACTGTAAGGCCTTCTCGGGTACGTTAAAGTGTTTCTACTTATAAAATGCAATAATAAGGGAATTTACCTTCCATGATTTTCCACGAATTTTTGCATTTGCATATCTATGCTATTCCCGCACTCCGCAGTCTCCGAAGGAGACCAATAAAGGAGTAGAGCGATAGGCGGGGCTTGACCTCTGCGCGAAGGTGCGAGGAGCCTTCTGGAGTGTGAATGCTGGTGCGAATGGAGGTGCTAGGAACTCCTGCGTCCCCTCCGGTCTCTAGTACCCTTTTCATAATATCACTGGCTTACATACCCCTATGAAAAATATAAAGTCTTTCAGAGTTCTTTAGAATAAGTCTGCAAGCTGCACTGTGCAGTACATCTATTTTATTTCTGTTCAAAAGTCATTTAATATTTATATAAGAAGAGTGGACTATCCAAGCGGATAAGGTGGATCTCTGAAGTGCAAAAATTATTGGGTAATTATTGAGTCATTTGTTTACTTCGTCTGCCTCCTTTTCAAAATTGTTCTCAAATATCTGCAAGAATTTTGTCGTCATCAACAATTTTGTGGTTTTTATAGTTCTCAGTCCTATGTGAATCCAATACTAGAGCCGAGTCTGTTTGCTGAAAATGTACGCGTCGATAGCAACATATAGATTTCCGATTTGATCTTATAAAATAGCGAATCTAGTCTATGAGCAATCATTTCAAAAGCAAGTCTAGAAACTTTTCGGTCCTGGGTTACTCCTCATCCTTGGACCTTCTTAATTTGATCAGGAAAACATTTTCAAGACCCTCTCATTGCAGATTTCGAGGAAGTATGCAATAATTGAAGTGCAACGGAAACTCTTGAAGCTGAGATACCAAATCTTTGGGTTGATCACACATGTTTTCGAAATCATGTACATCTTGTTGATTTCGTAATCGTTCTTGTCACCGTATTTTCATCTCGCATCCTACAATAAAATATTATATAGAAAAGCACGTTAATGCGTCAGCCACTTCTCTACGCAATCCTTCTCTCCTTACTACCACTATGCTTAGGCAAAGGATTGGAATGCGCTGTTTGCCAGCAGTTTGTCGAAGGGATAGACAAAAAGGAGATCGAAGAGGACAAAAACCTGAAGAAAGTAAGGCTAGTTCATCAATTTTACACCTCAACACACTATTGCAGAAAGCCGAGCACGATTGTCGCCAAATACTTGACATGCCCGTTATTGATGACTATTGTGTGAAACTCGTTGATGAAGAATTTGATAAAATCACCCAGATGATCCTCAATGATGAGAAACCCAGTGTGATATGTAAGAAAATTGACATGTGTTGAATTTTCTTCTTTTGATAATTACTGCCTTTTTTGCAATTTAAATGGCCCTTCAGGCATAAGGGTCTTTGGTCACTTGTATGATAAATATTTATGAGCTTCAAATTTACTCGGGTGAATTATCACGAGAAATATATAATCATATAAATACATTCTAATCCAAGGTGACTATCATAATCACTAGCAGCCACAGCTGCTCAATTATAAAACGGTTCACAAGATAAAAAAGATCCTATAACGTTCACCCGCTCTATCTAAACAGATACGAAGAACTTACGAAGAGTAAATGACAAAATTAGGTGAGATATCACATAGATAAAGAAACAACGATAGAGTTATAACAACACTACGAATAAACCCGTAATAGATCCATGTCGGCGAAATCACAAACTGTTAGTGCTGAGTTCTCAAAAATACACCGTTCCTAGAAATTCAAAAGAAGAAAGCAAGCGCTACCGCGGAGTTGTCGAAAGGAGGGGAGGTCGGACTAATGGCGAACTTCGATATTCGTCTTGCAACGGACTTCGATACTCCGTCGGTGGATCATCGCGAGGTAGTCGATCCTACAAAGAAGAACATAGTATACTTTGTCTTACAAAAGCGTTTGGTCTTATTGTTAGATTTTACGTGGAAACTGGACTCTATGGGAACTAGTGCGGGTCCCAGAAAATTCTTTTGGATGGGCAGAGGGGTGGAGAGCGACGAAATTTTTGTCGAAAGAGCGGGCGTTGCCCACAAAAAAGTAAACTTACTTTGAAAAATAATTTTTGGAGATGTTTTTCAACATTTTTGAGGGCCCTTAACTCCGATATTGTACACAGACGGCGTGGTTTCATAAAATTAAATTAATTTAAAACTTTATTTCAAAAATTATCTTGATTGTTTGCAAGTGAAAGCAAGTCGCTTGTGCAATTTCATGACTCATATAGGCCACATTCAAACATTTCACCAAACCCGCAAATCCCTCCGCCCACTCCTCCCCCATCGCCTCTAGGCCCGCCTTCGCCCCAATGGAAAATTGCTTCGTATTGACCTTCACTGAAACGTGAAGACTCGCCGGATATGCAATGCAGCCACAATCGGCAGCAAACTGATAAATTTCCTAGCCGGCAATATTCTCCAGTTTCCACATAAGAATCCTAGTCATCTAATCTGCTAACAAGGGAATGGTCAGAAATCGAAGTGGCCAATCCAAACAAGCTGCATACCATTAGATACAGCATGAAGCACTAACTATAAATCTGTCTTCCTTATCTGCTTATCGTTATTCTGGACGAAGCTATAAGCCAATAAAGGCCATTTTTTTGCTAAGAAATTATGCGTGAAAATGAAAATTTAGCCGTACAGAGCCAGGTTCGCCTTAATGCCGGGCTAAAACATGCAGTTAGCTTACTTCAAATTTTTAAAGCCAGAAGCTTAGCTAAAAGTGCAACAATGTGCTCAATTTCGCTGTTTTTATGTATGGTTTTTTCACAATAAAACCGCTTGTAGCTTCGTCCACAGAAGCGGGAAGCAGATAAGGAAGACAGATTCGAAGTCAGTGTTTTATACTGCATCGAATGATATACAGCTTCTTTGGTTTGGCCACTTCGACTTCTGACCATTCCCTTGTAAGCAATGCCTTTTTCAAGAAAAAAAAAGACATGCACTATTCGCCGACCTTATGGCCATCGTGAAGCTTGTGAGTGCGATGCTCTTTATGCTGTTTGTCGTGTTTGTGTTCTTTATGATGTTTCTTCTTATGTTGTTCTTTGCTTTCCTTCTTATCACCGTCTTTCTCTCTCCTCTCTCCGTCAATCTTTTGCGGTGAGTGATCCTTGACATGGTTCTGTTCACGATGTTTATGCCGATGATTCTGAAACTTGAAATTTTTGATACTAAATAGCTGACGAACCAATCAAACGGCTTCTCTTCCCGTTACAGGGGTAGCTAAAAGAAGGAGAAGAAATATACCAATGCACAAAGTTCTCGGTACTTCTGCAGCATCTCCATCGGTTCTTGTGAAACAAACTTCGACAGGAATATCCACATATAATTGTACCATTTACGAATATTCGTCTTCGGCTTTCTAAAGTACGATATAATTAAAGAGCTATTGCGCAAGTAAAAAATCGAAACAAACTTTTTGAGCATTTCGTCTAGTTGATCACGGCAGTTGTCACCTAACTTCATCAGGTACCTAGCAGCCTCCTTTTCGTTACTAGCTTCCGTAAGTTTCTTGATGTATTTTTGCACTGGCCGCATCATCTTCACGCATTCTGAACAGGCATAAGCTTCAAAACATTGAATTTACAGTGGCTTGTACGGATGTCTAAAAACACATTATTGAACCATTTTCTTTTTCGATGTCTCTCACAGTATGGTACCATACCAGAAAGCTGAATTCAACCTGAAATTATAGTATAAAGCAAATCACCGATGCTCTTCATTTACCGTAGGAGTACGGTGGTTTTGAGCTCATTAGGATAACTGTACAAACTGCAGTTTCAGAAGATTTTCAAAAACTTGAGGCGTAATCGGCTCACACACGCTATCTTAACAATCTAAAAGGTTTGTGAGTTTTCAAGAAGCGATCGGTGACTCGCTTCTTTATGTAGATCTAAGACGAATCCAGCAAATTAGCTTAGGGAGTGTGAAACGAAATTAGAAGATGCAAGTGAAATACTGCGATACAAAAATTCAAAATCAAAAAAGCAATGACCCAAAAACTCAGCTTACCAGAAAACGGTCGATCGCTCGTATTCTCGAGTGCTTGACCATAAATCGACTTTTCGATGAGGACTAAGGCTAACTGATCTGCCAGTGTCTTGTCACGTGTGACTACCACAGGTTTAGCTTGCAAAGCATTATGATGATGGTGATGATGCTTGTGATGTTCCTTCTCTTTTCGTTTCTATTGAAAAAAATTGCTGAACATACTGCAAAGTTACTACTACTTTGAATTCTTACTTTTTCCTCGACTGGCTCAGATTTCACATCGTCACTTGGTGCCTTCCTTTTACGGTTGCCTGCCAAAGGCGTAGCCCTTTGGGTTTTCTTACCATTTATGGACTTGTCCATCAACTTGAGTAGATAATCTACCCGTTGCTGCAAGTGACGAGGCTGAGGTTTTCGAATCTGAAATGGCAACTACTGTAGAAACCTCAATCCATATCCATGAGCTGATTTGTACCTTATCTTTCAGGAAGATCTTATCAGCCAGCCCAAGTTCTGGATCCATTTTGATCGCTTCCCAACTACCCAGCCCGTATTTATAAACACCTCGCAACAATGCTGTATCGTCTACGAAATTCCATTCGACGTCCCAGCCCTGAAAATAAGGGATATTTGAAACAAGCCTTTGCTGAAAGTCATGCTATCATCAACAAAGAACCTTCTGAGGGCGAGCTTTGTGAGGAGGTCTGAAATCCGAAGCGCTTCCTTTGTCGGAAAGCGCCTTGTGCAGAGGCTCTAGTTCAGCCTGCAGTTTCCTTATAGGTCGAACGTTCACGTCAACCACACCGGCAAATTTGAATGAAGCGCCTCGGTCTTTTGTCTTTTCACCGTCAGCCTAAATCTGACGACTGTAAACCCCATGTTATCCACGCTGGACGAAATAACGCAAACCTTCTCTTCACTTTTCCTCGTCTCATGCTCTGCCTCAGCTTTTTCACAACCTTCCAGCAAAGCTTCTGCCAGTTTTCTCAGTTCTTCAGCACTATGCTCTTCCAGCTCAGCATCTTGAGCTAATGCCTCCAGCCTGCAAGCATTTTGATTCAACCTTCCTTAACTATTTAGCTATATGACTACCTTTCCAACGGCATCGCGAACTTCCTAAATGACCGCACGAATCTTTTGACTTCCGTACCAGAAAAATCTCCAAAGGCTTTTTTCCTCTTTTTACGACCGCCACCTTCTGCTTCACCATCTGACGCGGAAGCATCGCCCTCATCAGCTTCTTCAATTTCAACTTTGACGCGTTGTCGAGGTGCCAGCTCCAAATCTGCCGCCAACTACAAAAGGAGAATTTATTTTGCAAAACTTGACTATGTCTAAACACCAACCTTTCTTCGTTCTTCTTCTTCGAGTTTCAATCTTTCAGTTTCTGGAATGATCTCATCCCAATCGGCATTCTCTAGCTCTTTAGATGAAGCAACTTGATGTTGAGCGGCAGCAGCCACATCTTGTTCTTCGTTGATGGAGAAGTTTGCATACTTGAAGGAATTCAGCAGCTCATTGCCATTCTCCTGCAGAAAATTTTTTCAGACATACAGAACTACAGGCTTGAAATATTGAAAGGTTGCTTCTTATTCGGTGTTGAAGCTCAAAAATCATCAATAGTCACACGTATCTGCGGGAGATTACAGAAACAATTCTAAGTAAGGACGCCATAAATTTTTACCCCAAAGAGGCGTGGCTACTCGCCTTCCTACAAGAGAAGGATCCCAGATCGCAGTGGCTAACCGAAATGATATGCATATCATTCGATGCGTCTTAATGAGTGATTCCAAATCTACTTTTCTTATCTGCTAAGCGCTTCCTAGAAGAAGCCATGGACGGTTAAAGATGTAGAGTCAATGGGATTTTGATGCGTAATGTGCTCTGAACCGCTTGGGAGTAATGAACTGGCATGGTTTAAAGTACTGACTACAATGAATGCATACACCGAACACATGAATAAGTGTTTTTGAACAAATAATGCTTGAAGATGTGGCACTAAATCTTTGCCAAATTCGGACATTCAAATGCTCATAACTTCTTCTAGAGAAGGGCTTAGCAGATACGGAAACCAGATTTGGAATCAGCTCATCAAGGCGCATGATGATGTGCGTATCATTTCGGTTCGTCACTGCGATCTGGTACCCTTAACCAGGGCTCGGCACGATGTGGTTAGTTGAAAATGCAAAAAACGAAGTCCCCCTTGACTTTTGCGAATTTTTACGAAGTCCCCTTTGACCCTAGCCCATAATCCCTAGAAAAAATTTCCAAAAAACGAAACCGGCTTAAAACAAAAACGCAAATTTCGTGTCTTTTCGGCCACAAAAACGAAACCCTCTTTGGTTTTTGTCCCAAAAACGATATCCAGTTTGCTCATAAGCCCCTGTGCCCAGCCCTGCCCTCAACTTGCTAGAAGTTTTTGAAATTCTCAATTTTATTGCGACTTGTAATCCTGTAGTTCTGAAAGAAGGCGGAGAGCAAAAATGCGTCAGAAAATCAATTTTTTACGGTAACCTGTCGAGATTATTTTAGTTTTTTCATAAGTTAATCTGAAAAAGATTATCTACATCATAACGAGACAAACACAATGCATTGGCTCATATAAACCGTTTCCAAGGAGCTCTTTGCTCCCCCTGAAAAGTCACTGCACGTCGCTATCACATTGGAACTCTCTCGCGGAGAATGAACTCAAATGATCGAAAATTTGAAAATTTTCATTTTGCAAACTAGTTTGATAGGTACCAATCCATGAACAAAGAATGCAAAGAAAGAATTGGAGAAAGGCAGAATGAGATGCTGTAGATCAGATATGCGTAATATGTGATTTTCTTGATTGTAACTTGATGTCAATACTGGCTGTGTCTTGGTGTTTGAATTTCAAATAAGCAGCTTAGTTCAAAAATGTGATTTCCCTAAAGATTTGATGAGCAGATTATCTGCTGTATTACCTGAGCCTCATCAGCATCTCTTGTTTCTGCTACACTCAAGATACGATCAATGTCAACTTCTGGTTCCTGCTCCTCCCCATCGCCTTCCTTGAATAGATCAGCAGCTCCAAATTTCAAAATGTCGTTGAGTTCCTTCTTATCAAATGGGATGGAGCGTGCACCACCGGAAGATTTAAGCACCTAAAACAATGTTTTTGCTTGAAAATCATGCATAAACTACGGTAACTTACAGTTCTTCCAGTAGTGTCCATTCTTTGGATGACGAGATGATCAAGCACGAGTTTGCGTTTTGCTCGTTCAACTATTTCCTCTTCCATCGAATTACGGGTTACAAGACGATAGATGTTCACCTTAAATTGCCTTGTTCGATTTTCAACTTCATTAATATTACAGGAGAGTGTACTGGAACCAAAGTGTCGTCATTTGGGAGTCACTTCCCCATGAAAGTATACTTTAAAAACATGTGTAAAATAGCTTCTAATCAGTGATGACACAAAAATTTATGTATTTTTTATTTTATTTTACCACTAAGAGCGTATCCAACAAAATTTACAAGGATATTCCTAACCTGCCGAGTCTGCCCTATTCGATGAGCTCTGCTCATTGCTTGCAAATCGTTTTGCGGATTCCAATCCGAGTCAAAAATTATGACCTGAATTTTTGGACGTAAGATTTGAAATAAAAACAATCCGATGAACATACCGTGTCCGCTGTAGCAAGGTTGATACCCAAACCTCCGGCTCGAGTTGATAGCAAAAAGGCAAAGTCCGTCGAACCTTCAGCGTTGAAATGGTCAAGCGCTTGCTTACGCAGATCAGCCCGCATGGAGCCATCAAGTCGCTAAATTCATAAACTCGAAAACGTTCTGACGTCCCAGCTCACTATAGACCTACCTGTGCTGAAAAACGACGCAATTGGAGATACTCTTGTAAGATGTCCAGCATCATCACCATCTGAGAGAATATCAAGACGCGGTGCCCAGTGTCTTTCAAGCGACATAATAATTTGTCCAACAAAATCAATTTTCCAGATGATTTGAGCAGTTGCTGAATGATTGATAGATGGGTTAGCCTGCCAGGCCAGAAGGCAGACTAATCATACCTGTAGTCGTGACTGTGGATCATTTTCGTAATGATCATACTGACGGACTAGAGAAGTATGATTGCAGCACTTTTTAAGCTCCATCACAAGGTTTACAAAACCATTTATTGATCCTGAAATATTTATTATTTGAAGCTGAATGAAAAATCTTAGCTGCTTACAAGGAAATGGTCAGAAGTCGAAGTGGCCAAACCAAACAAGCTGTATACCATTCGATGCAGTATAAAACGCTGACTTCGAAACTGTCTTTCTTATCTGCTTCCCGCTTCTGTGGACGAAGCTACATGCCATTAAAGACCATTATTTTGCTAAGAAATTACGCGTGAAATTGAAAATTTAGTCGTGGTGAGCCACGTTCGCCTTAATGCTGGGCCAAAACATGCAGCTAGCCTACATAGAATTTTTAAAGAAAGAAGCTGACAAGGGAACCGTGTCGAGTCGAAGTGGCCTTTCCAAATGAGACCCATATTGCTTTGAAGAGCATTGAGCGGTGATTCCGAATCTGCTTTCCAAATCTGCCAAGCGCCTGTGGACGGCGAGTTATGCTCGTTTTTCAGGTCAAAAAATTGAGCGCAAAACTGAAGCAAAATCGCCCACATTTGCTCAAATGGTCTAGTGTCAAGTATCAGAGCTGTTTATGCAATGGATACATTTTATCTAATATGCTAATACTTAACATTGCTTTGTCTGAGCACTGGAAAGATTGTAACAATCAATTTTACCTAAATTCTGCATTCATTTTTCGTTCCGATGAACGGTCATAACTCGGCGTTCAGAGGCGCTTGGCAGATTTGGAAGGCAGATTTGGAATCACCGCTTAATGCTCTTCAAAGCAGTATGGGTTTCATCTGGAAAGGTCACTTCGACTCGACACGGTTCCCTTGTGAGCTAAAAGTGCAACAGTGTGCTCAAATTTGCTGTATTTATGTGTGATTTTTTCACAATAAAACCGCTTGTAGCTTCGTCCACAGAAACGGGAAGCAGATAAGAAAGACAGATTCGAAGTCAGCATTTTATACTGCATCGAATGGTATACAGCTTGTTTGCTTTGGCCACTTCGACTTCTGACCATTTCCTTGTTAGATAGATACTAAATTTACAATTTAAATTCTCTGTGGTATCTAGGTATAGAAAAATTCAACAAATATACTCATACATCCACGCATTGCATAAACCAACAGCAGCCTTTTTCTTGAAAGTGCATCCCAGTCTTTCGACAATAAGCATCAGAGTGAGTCGTGATGATCGTACTAGTGATAACTACCTAATTGGGGCCTTCATTCAAGTGAAATGATGTTGGAAACCCCGCTTGGTCTGGAGATTGAAATTAAGACAACCGAAAATGGTGGCAAACCTTTTACTCCTTTAGAAAGTTCACGATAGTTCTTGGTCAAGATCCACTTGTAGTATTGCTTCTGCTGAGCCGTCATGTCTACTCGCAAAATTTGCTCCAGCTAGAAAGAGTCACACAATGGAACTGCTTGCGACAATAATCGACTTGAGTTTTTAACAAGATAACCTTGGGTGGCAAGCTCTTCTCTACATCCTTTTTGACTCGTCTCAGAAGAAACGGTTCCAGCTTCCGATGGAGAGCAGCAATACCCTTGTGATCTCTGTCATTATGACCACCTTCAAACTCCGCCCAGCTGTTGAATCTGCAAAAGCATAATAACAAGAATTGTCGAACATCATGCTTCTACAATCGAGACCGAAGTATGTAGAAACCCACGGTCTTCAGAAAATCAATCAGTCTCTCGAAGTATAGCTAAAGAGACGACTATGGTACAAAAGTAAGAAACATACTTTTCAGGCATGATGAAGTGGAGCAGAGCCCATAATTCCTTCAGAGAATTTTGTAGAGGAGTTCCAGTGATAAGGAGACGATGGTCACAATTAAATGAAGATAATGAGATATACAGCAGAGACTCATCGTTCTTCAATCTATGCGCCTCATCAACAGCAAGAGCAGCCCAATGGAAGCTACCCAAAAATGGCTAAAAAAACCAGATGAGCTTTATAACATCATTGGTTTCCCAGTTACCTTGTCCTTGAGCAGGATCTCATAGGTGGTAAGCACAGCATTGACCTTGATCTTCTTCGTACCAGCTACGTACCACTCAAATTGACGAATCTAAACGTTCATATATCAGCTTCGAATCTGCTCAATCCCATTGAAATCTCAACATTAATTTAAAAGTGGCAAGCGGGACGTATCCAAAAAGCTGGCACTGAGATGCAGTGCCTTTGGGACTCTAATCACTTGCATGATGGTGGCGTACCCAGACTTCCCATTCGGGGAAGGGGGGGGGGGGGCGACAAAAATGTTTTTCTAATGAAGGTGCGTGGCTAACGCCACGCACTCCGAAAAATTCTTTTGATGTGCTTCCTGAAAATTTTAGCGGACCCACAACTCCAAAATTTCGGAAAAAGGGGGCGCGGCGTCAGCCACGCCCGGAATGGAATTTTTTATAGGGCTAAATTGAATCTTCAAAAATTTCTAAAAACTATCTCAATTATTTACAAGTATAAACAAGCCACTTGTACATTTTTATAACTCATGTAACTTCCAAAAATTTCGCGACCCATAACCTGCCCTATCCTTTTCTCTATACCTATCAGCCCTCGCTTCTGACGCCCATTGCATACAGTACTTTCCCTACTCGATAATGAATTCCACGACCTGTAGTCGATACTTGGTGCAATGACAGAAGAAGATCCGAAAGGCGCTAAGCAAAATTTTGAGAATTCTCAGCTCAAAAGTCCCTCCGCCTGGCATTCGGTAAATTTCGAAAGCGAAAGGAGTTCCCCCGTTTTTTGACAAAAATTATCAAATTACATGATTTTGGATTTTTTCTAAGGTCTCATCCAAAATCCTCCGAAAACCTCTTTACATTCGGTCGACGGAACTTACTTGTTCACGCGAATTTGTATCACCCATATAGGTGACAAGATTCAAGTCCGGCGCCCATTGTGCAAATTCCTTTTGCCAAGCTGCCATGGTAGACAATGGCACCACAACGAGGAACGGTCCATACAATTCGTAACGATGGTATAAGGCTGACAGGAACGCAATAGATTGAATAGTCTTTCCGAGACCCATTTCATCAGCCAGGATGCTAAACAAGTAATTAGAGACAACTTTCTCAAAAAACCTAGCTAAACTGACCATGAATTATGCTTGCACCAAGCATGGAGCATCCAGTTCAGACCCTCTAGTTGATAGTCTCGAAGCGTTTGTTCTTTGTCATCAGGTTGTAGCCATGATGGCATACCTTCGATTTTCACGAATTTCGGTCTTCTTCGTAGAACCTAGACACGGAGTTTGTACAGAATTTGTTTTATATCGCCGATAATTCCGTATTAGAAGGAAAACCCAAAGAAACTACGGTTTTATTTGAATTATGAGTAATTTTTTTTTGCAAAAAAGCAGACCACCAGACTTACCGCAGCATTTTTGCTAGGGGCTTTATAGTTATCGATCCTGCGATGATAAGCCTGGATAGCTTCAGGAGGTAACAGACGAGCATCCTCCCATGTACAATCCGAATATGAAAGTCCACACCATTTCACGTAATACTCTGTGGCTTCCTGGCCATCTGCATTTTTATCCCTAGATACCTTAACAGCACAGTTTTGAGTAATGCGGAAACCATCTCTTGAGCTTCTATTTGCTCTACCTGGTGAGCGACTATCCGCTCAACTTTTGTGTACTCTTCGCATAGCTCTTCACTCATCACTTGTTCGCATTCGTAAAATTCAATATACTCCTTGTCAGCTGTACGCTTCCTGAAGAGGTTGAGGAGTATGATAGAAAAGATAAGTCGCAAGAAGTTCATCTACCAGTCATCCATTTCCTTCTGCTTTTTGAGAAAATTCTGCACTTTTTTCACTCCATTCGCTCCCATAGCAGCTATTGAAGCCTCAGACTCCCATGTGTTATGGAGATGACTCCAACCAACCCATCTAAAATGAAGGCAATGGTGAGAAAAAAGGAATGATTACCATTTTAGAGAAAAAACCTACTTGATTAAAAACTGCTGTTCAACAACGGGAGCATCTGGATTATTTGGATCGCCTTTTTCTGAAACGTTATAGCAAGTGGTAGCTGATCCTGTTGCTCCCTGAGCTCCCAATCTGGATTTAATCACCTGAAAAGATATACAGATTGACTCAGCCTATGACTAGAAAAGTCATCAACGTACGCGTTCAATTGTTTCTGCGTTCGTTACAGCAGAAGGCGACTTTTTGTCTTCTTCCCATTCAAGGACGTCATTTTCATCGAGCTGAAATTACACGATCATGTTAACGCAATAAGCTCATAAAGAACTGCAGGGTGCATACATCTTCATCAGAGCCTTTTTCAGTATAGTCGACAGGAGAACGATTTGATTTCCCCGATCGTCCCCTGTATCCGCTTTTTTGCGCGGATGTTCTTTTTCCTCGGCTCGCTTTGAAACTGTGATCGTCCGATGAACTGTCTTCGCTGAGCTCGGCTTCCTCATCCTCGTCCTTTGATGGGAAAAATGAGCAGATATGTGTGTGGAAAAAATAAGCAAGATAGTACCTCAGAATGGCTGGCTTTCTCCTTTCTACTTGACTGTTTAGAACGAGATGATCGTCTTAAGTAATCTCCTTCTTCCAAAAACTGAAAGAGGAAGGGGATTACATTTCTTAGAAATGTTCCAAATCTAATTTTGCGCTTGTAAACAAGGGAAGCAGAGGAAAACTGAACTGATAGGTCCAGAAGAATGAACACATTATCTTCATCAATTATATACAGAGAACTCAGAATTTCCAACGAGAACTCTACGAAAATATCAATGGACAAAAGTATATTTGTGTTCCTCAAGCTTCAACCCAAAAAAGTATTCTGTTCTTCTCTGATCTCCTTCTCCAAAAATGAAGTGACCATTACCTACCTTTCGAGTTTTCTCGTCCAAGCGACCCTTTGGCTTTTTGCGAGGTACATCACTTCCACTACTGGAGGAACTACTGCTGGAACTACTACTGCTCCCTGGCGCATGGTCCTCATCCTCACTTTCTTTTTCTGAAAAGATAAATTTTAGCAGAATATGCGGAACCACGAAAGCTGGATGCGAAACAAAATTCGCAAGAGAGTTGAACGGGTATTTTAAAAGTTGTGATAAGCGTTGATAACGACCCTTTTATATTCACCTTCAATATAATTGTAATTTATCATCAGAAATGTGCTACCAGATGACCATAAAAATTGCAATTTGTTAACAGTGTACATCACTGAACCCTGTGATGCATTTCGGTAGGAGGAGATCGTAACGACGGGAGATCTGGCGCTAATATAATGGAGAGTCAAAAGAACCAAATCGGATCCGAGATGACCCACCATCTCCCCTCCTCCGTTTAGGACGCCCCTATATGAGCGGTCAAGCTTCCCAAATGTCGACCCTAGAACTCGAATGTCGCACCACCTTCGATATATCTCCTCACAAGGGAGTGGACAGATATCGAAGTGGCTAATCCAGACAAGCTGCATACCGTTAGATGCAGCATGAAGCGCTGACTCTAGATCTGTCTTCTTTATCTGCTTATCGCTTTTCTGGACGAAGCTATAAGCCATTAAAGACCAATATTTTGCTAAGAAACCATGCGTGAAAGTGAAAATTCGGCCGTACGGCCCCACGTTCGGCTTGATGCTGCGCCAAAACAATCAGCTAACTTACTTCAAACTCTCAAAGCCTAAAGCTGAGCTGAAATTGCAGCAATGTGCTCAATTTCACAGTTTTTATGTACGACTTTTCCACAATAAAACTGCTTGTAGCTTCGTCCACAGAAGCGATAAGCAGATAATGAAGACAGATTCGAAGTCAGCCTTTCATACTGCCTCGAATGTTATATACAGATTGTTTGGTTTGGCCACTTCAACTTCTGACCATTCCCTTGTCAGCTAACACGGAAAAGTGATAAACTTTTTCATATTTTGCTCGAAAAATTGAGATACCATGAAGCCCTAGGCCTTATAATGTACAACCAGAAGCACCCTGTCGTCAAATTCTCCGACCCCATCCGAAAATTACATATGCAAGAGCAGAACTCCGGAAGACATACCAACATCACCTATGAAAAACTCCTACGAAATTTTCAAAAGCAAGTACAATAAGCTGAGAGCGCCTGCAAATTTTCAAATTCTAGCTGCGGCATGATTCAAAAACCAAAAGCACCACTTTTGTTGAGTTCGAACACCATTTCGATCAATACACGGATGATGTAACGGTAGGAGAATCCAGAGAGCAGATGCAATAAAGAAGTTCATTGGTGGCAAACTCCTATAGAGATTTCCCAGCCGCAACATCAGCCCTGAACAGGGAGATTCGTTTAGCGCTACCTCTCACAGTTTTGTCGTGTTCCTCGACTACGGACAATACTACAGCAGCAGAAGTAAAAGCCATCTAGATTCGAAGAACTCATTGATGAAAAGTTCCTATAGGAACTGGAAGGTCTCATAAGACTTGATCACACTTGATTGCATTATTTGAGGGTTAGTAAGATTTTAACAACTCATTTAATCCAAAATGCACATTCAATTTCTCGCTCCAAAAACGCTCATAACTCCTCTTCCATAAACGTTCTCCAGATAAGGAGGTTCGGAATCAGCATTTTACGCCCCTTCAGAATGGTATACATTTCATTTGAAAAGGCCACTTCGACCCTTCTCAGTTGCAACATGATCCCAGAACCAGAGCCACCAACAAAGCACTACTTCTGTCGATTTTACCGCCTATTTCGATCGATAAACCGATGAATTCAAGGACCTCAGTGTGACAAACTATTAAAGGTATAGAAATTCCCCAGTCGCAACATCAGCCCTGAACATGGGAGATCCGTTTAGCTCTCACGGTTGTGTCAAGTTCCTCGATCGATAAACGGAAGATACAACAAGTAATAGGAACTGAAAAGCATCTAGATTCGAAGATCTCATTTATGTAAAGCTCCTATAGGGACTGGAAGGTCTCAGGTGCAACATGAGCCCAGCACTAAAGCCACCAACAATTCACCACTTTTAACTCGCCGCCTATTTCGATCAATAGAATGATCATGATATAGTAGCAGAATCCAGAAAGTATTTGAATTCAAACATCTCATCGGTAATGAGCCTCTATAGGTATAGTAAGTCCTCAGCCGCAACATCAGCCCCGAACATGAGGGATCCGTCTAGCGCTACCTCTCACGGTTTCGCCGTTTTCCTCGATCGATAAACGGAAGATACAACAAGTAATAGGAACTGAAAAGCATCTAGATTCGAAGATCTCATTCATGACCAGCTCCTATAGGGAGTGGAAGGTCTCAGGTGCAACATGAGCCCAGAACTAAAGCCACCAGCAAAGCCTCATTCTGCTGGGTTCGCTCAGTATTTCGATCGATAAACGGAAGATACAACAGTAATGGAAACTGAAAAGCATCTAAATTCGAAGATCTCATTTATGTAAAGCTCCTATAGGGACTGGAAGGTCTCAGGTGCAACATGAGCCCAGAACTAAAGCCACCAACAAATCACCACTTTTGTCGAACTTGCCGCCTATTTCGATCAATAGAATGATCATGCAATAGTAGTAGAATCCAGAAAGTATTTGAATTCAAACATCTCATCGGTAATGAGCCTCTATAGGTATAGTAAGTCCCCAGCCGCAACATCAGCCCCGAACATGAGGGATCCGTCTAGCGCTACCTCTCACGGTTTCGCCGTTTTCCTCGATCGATAAACGGAAGATACAACAAGTAATAAGAACTGAAAAGCATCTAGATTCGAAGATCTCATTTATGTAAAGCTCCTATAGGGACTGGAAGGTCTCAGGTGCAACATGAGCCCAGAACTAAAGCCACCAACAAATCACCACTTTTGTCGAACTTGCCGCCTATTTCGATCAATAGAATGATCATGCAATAGTAGTAGAATCCAGAAAGTATTTGAATTCAAACAACTCATCGGTAATGAGCCTCTATAGGTATAGTAAGTCCCCAGCCGCAACATCAGCCCCGAACATGAGGGATCCGTCTAGCGCTACCTCTCACGGTTTTGCCGTTTTCCTCGATCGATAAATGGGGTATATCGCCTTAGTAGAAACTGAAAAGCATCTAGATTCGAAGATCTGATTCATGACAAGCTCCTATAGGGAGTGGAAGGTCTCAGGTGCAACATGAGCCCAGAACTAAAGCCACCAGCAAAGCCTCATTCTGCTGGGTTCGCTCAGTATTTCGATCGATAAACGGAAGATACAACAGTAATGGAAACTGAAAAGCATCTAGATTCGAAGATCTCATTTATGTAAAGCTCCTATAGGGACTGGAAGGTCTCAGGTGCAACATGAGCCCAGAACTAAAGCCACCAACAAATCACCACTTTTGTCGAACTTGCCGCCTATTTCGATCAATAGAATGATCATGCAATAGTAGTAGAATCCAGAAAGTATTTGAATTCAAACATCTCATCGGTAATGAGCCTCTATAGGTACAGTAAGTCCCCAGCCGCAACATCAGCCCCGAACATGAGGGATCCGTCTAGCGCTACCTCTCACGGTTTTGCCGTTTTCCTCGATCGATAAATGGGGTATATCGCCTTAGTAGAAACTGAAAAGCATCTAGATTCGAAGATCTGATTCATGGCAAGCTCCTATAGGGAGTGGAAGGTCTCAGGTGCAACATGAGCCCAGAACTAAAGCCCACCAACAAATCACCACTTTTGTCGAACTTGCCGCCTATTTCGATCAATAGAATGATCATGCAATAGTAGTGGAATCCAAAAAGTATTTGAATTCAAACATCTCATCGGTAATGAGCCTCTATAGGTATAGTAAGTCCTCAGCCGCAACATCAGCCCCGAACATGAGGGATCCGTCTAGCGCTACCTCTCACGGTTTTGCCGTTTTCCTCGATCGATAAACGGAAGATACAACAAGTATTAGGAACTGAAAAGCATCTAGATTCGAAGATCTCATTCATGACCAGCACCTATAGGGAGTAGAAGGTCTCAGGTGCAACATAAGCCCAGAACTAAAGCCACCAGCAAAGCCTCATTCTGCTGGGTTCGCTCAGTATTTCGATCGATAAACGGAAGATACAACAGTAGTAGAAACTGAAAAGCATCTAGATTCGAAGATCTCATTTATGTAAAGCTCCTATAGGGACTGGAAGGTCTCAGGTGCAACATGAACCCAGAACTAAAGCCACCAGCAAATCACCACTTTTGTCGAACTTGCCGCCTATTTCGATCAATAGAATGATCATGCAATAGTAGTGGAATCCAGAAAGTATTTGAATTCAAACATCTCATCGGTAATGAGCCTCTATAGGTATAGTAAGTCTTCAGCCGCAACATCAGCCCCGAACATGAGGGATCCGTCTAGCGCTACCTCTCACGGTTTTGCCGTTTTCCTCGATCGATAAACGGAAGATACAACAAGTAATAGGAACTGAAAAGCATCTAGATTCGAAGATCTCATTCATGACCAGCTCCTATAGGGAGTAGAAGGTCTCAGGTGCAACATGAGCCCAGAACTAAAGCCACCAGCAAAGCCTCATTCTGCTGGGTTCGCTCAGTATTTCGATCGATAAACGGAAGATACAACAAGTAATAGGAACTGAAAAGCATCTAGATTCGAAGATCTGATTCATGACAAGTTCCTATAGGGAGTGGAAGGTCTCAGGTGCAACATGAGCCCAGAACTAAAGCCACCAACAAATCACCACTTTTGTCGAACTCGCCGCCTATTTCGATCAATAGAATGATCATGCAATAGTAGTGGAATCCAGAAAGTATTTGAATTCAAACATCTCATCGGTAATGAGCCTCTATAGGTATAGTAAGTCCCCAGGCGCAACATCAGCCCCGAACATGAGGGATCCGTCTAGCGCTACCTCTCACGGTTTTGCCGTTTTCCTCGATCGATAAATGGGGTATATCGCCTTAGTAGAAACTGAAAAGCATCTAGATTCGAAGATCTGATTCATGACAAGCTCCTATAGGGAATGGAAGGTCTCAGGTGCAACATGAGCCCAGAACTAAAGCCACCAACAAATCACCACTTTTGTCGAACTCGCCGCCTATTTCGATCAATAGAATGATCATGCAATAGTAGTAGAATCCAGAAAGTATTTGAACTCGAACATCTCATCGGTAATGAGCCTCTATAGGTATAGTAAGTACCCAGCCGCAACATCAGCCCCGAACATGAGGGATCCGTCTAGCGCTACCCTCACGGTTTTGCCGTTTTCCTCGATCGATAAACGGAAGATACAACAAGTAATAGGAACTTAATAGCATCTAGATTCGAAGATCTCATTCATGACCAGCTCCTATAGGGAGTAGAAGGTCTCAGGTGCAACATGAGCCCAGAACTAAAGCCACCACAAAGCCTCATTCTGCTGGGTTCGCTCAGTATTTCGATCGATAAACGGAAGATACAACAAGTAATAGGAACTTAAAAGCATCTAGATTCGAAGATCTCATTCATGACCAGCTCCTATAGGGACTGGAAGGTCTCAGGTGCAACATGAGCCCAGCACTAAAGCCACCAACAATTCACCACTTTTAACTCGCCGCCTATTTCGATCAATAGAATGATCATGCAATAGTAGTGGAATCCAAAAAGTATTTGAATTCAAACATCTCATCGGTAATGAGCCTCTATAGGTATAGTAAGTCCTCAGCCGCAACATCAGCCCCGAACATGGGGGACCCGTTTAGCGCTACCTCTCGTTTTGCCGTGTTCCTCGATCGATAAATGGAAGATACAACAGCCGTAAAAACTGAAGACCATCTAGATTCGAAGAAGTCATTGGAGGAAAGCTCTTCTGGGGACTGTAATTTCTAGGCGCGGCATAAATTCAAAACAGGAGCACGGGCAAAAGCACCCATTTTCGCTGATTTCTCTTTACGTGTCGATCGATAAAAGAAGGATTCGAGAAGTTTGGGATCTGAAACCACCAATAGAAGACATCGAGCTTGGTATGTGAAGCCGAGGTGAGGGGTGCAACATAACCCAGTATCGAGCCACTAGCCAAAAGTAGAGAAAGCAAATTGACAATGAGTACAATCAAAATATCTGAATAAAAACTTTCGCACATCTAAGAAGGATATCAAATAAGTTAGCCATAAATGTTAGTAAGGAGAAGAGATTGAGTTATATTGTTGAGAAAGAAATGTATACGCTGGTGCATGTCAGTAATATGACTTCTCTATATGATCAAGACAGAATTCAAAAGAATGATGAAGTCTCACCTTCTTCCAAGTTTTCATAATCGCTGTCGTGCTCAGCCGCACTCGAACAGTCCCTTGTCTCTTCCTGCTGCGAATCCACCGGAGTTGCCGCCGCCGTCGTGGGCTTCGCCTCTTCTTCACTAGCTCCTGCATGCGAGGACGAATCGTCTGATTCGTCCTGCCACATTTTTAGAAGTTCAATCTGGAAAACATTCGAGATAATGCAGTGTTCCTGTAGAAGTTGAGAAATCAGAAAAAAAAGAGAAGGAATTGCCTAATTTTAGCAATATGGCCCAGAACAAACCCATAAAAATCCCATTAGTACAACAAGGTTATGGACTATATCAATATTGATTCATAGTAACATACAGATACGCTGGAAACAACTAAGGAAGGCTATGAGGGCTGAGCAACAATCAATATGCAGAAGCAACAAATTGTGGCTCTGCCTTCGATAACAAATTTGCATTCCATTTCCCAATTTTTGTGGTATTTTCTTATTGATATTTGGTGCAGTTCTATTCAGAAAGGTAGTCAAAGCAGATGGCTTGATGAAAAAATTGATGGACATATAGCTGCACTCAGAATGCTAGGACGACGTCAGCACTTTGATGAGAACTCAGTGACCTCACTGTCCGTCGATGAACGTCCAGTACCATCATAGAACTGCGTAAGAAGACGTTAATACTAATGCACGAGTACTACAGATGTTACTGGAGTCTCAAGAACACTCCCAGAAGCTCGAAGACTACCGACATACGAGCAACAGCTCGTGGAATTTCACAGACATCAGTCTGTCGGAAAGAACCGCGTCGCAACCGCACGCTGGATACTTAGCGTCCAAATGAGACCATCGCCCGCCAGTTCAAATATCTCTTTTCCTATGGTTCTCCCTTGTTCCTGTGTGTTGAGGAAGGCTAGAGTGTGTAGACGAACGTGTGAGCTCAAAAATGATATAAATAACACTTTATTTTAATGAAATCAAATGAACACTGTATGAAAAACCTCGTGGAACATTTAAAACCATGAACAAGGCACAAAATCAGCCTATACAACAACAAACAACCGTGGGTGCAACCCTTGGAATGAATAAATAAAACAAAAAAATGCACAAATGGCATTCTATCACATTGTACTCCGCTTTTGGATGGTGTAGAGGTGAGAAATGGTGCTCTGTACGGCCTTACAACTCCTCCTTCTTCTTTTTCTTGCCGTCACGAGAGTATCCTTTGAGTCCATCAGTAGAGTGCTTAGCAATGAAGTTGATGAAGTCTTTCACTTCACGTCCACCATTGTAAGGGATAGGGTCGTTCTTCTGGTTCTTGGGCAACCAATACAGGGTTGGAAACCTAGAAAAAAATGTGTTAGGCATTCATCATTCTACAGGTATATCCCAACTTACCCTCGAACTTCGAAAAGTGGAGGTACGTCGTTAGCCGTAGCATCCATTTTCACAATCAGAACGTCTTCGTCTTGCAGCTGTAAAGTACTGGTGTAGATGAGAAGTGCAATAATAAATGATTATATACCTTAGTTGCGAGTTCTTCATATTTGGGAGCAAGAGCCTTGCAATGTCCACACCATGGAGCATAGAATTCGACAAGAACATCCTTATCTGCCTCCATGACCAGCTGCTTGAAGTTCTTTGCCACAGCAACCTGAATAATTATTTGCAGTAACGAATGGTGTATGCGTGATTTACTTACCTTGAGTGGAGCACTATCATCCTCTGGAATGGGCTCAGACTTCATGTAAGGTTCGAGCTTACCAGCAAGAAGCTCCTCAACAAACTCTTTGAGGTTATCCACGCTGAAAAGAGAACGATTATGATTAAATACATACTGCCGTTTGCTGATACTGACCTGAATTCACTTTCCATTGGGAATTTACCTTCATCGGTGAGAGCAGCAACAATTGGCTTATCAGAATCTTTACGATCAGCCAATCCATTCTGATCAACCTCCGAAGAAAACTCCTCCTTGTTTGAGACCGCAAAGTGCACCTTTCGCTTATAGTCTTGAGCCACTTTCAAGACACGATTGCGCCAGTAGTTGGAACCTAAACAGCAGATTCACACTGACGTTTGCTTGGTGAGCAAAAATGCAACAAGCCTTTGGGATCCTTCAAGTAGTCCAAGTTATAGTATACAACCACAAGTGGTCTTTGTTCGAACTGGAACAGGTTGCCTTGAGTTCGGATGCCTGCCATCCCAACCGTCTCATGGATGAGGAAGTTCTTGATCTTGTCAGTGTCGTAGTTGCCATCATATTTGAACTCATTGGGATCAAATTTGTTGTGGAGTTTCTTCGGAGTGAATACGACGATATCACTAAAAATGCGACGCCATTTCCGTGATCATGAAACTCTGTGTGATAAATGTAGGCTACAGTATTGATGGTACAGTTCAGACAAGAGCAGCAATGGTCCACACTGAATACCAATGCAGTGCTCCTAGATCACCATAATAGAAGTGAACTGGAAACACTAATGGCCCGAGATATTCAACGAAGTCACATGGTGATATGAAGGTCGATCCTATACCAACTATCACCAAATATCTTCGATTGATATACCATGTCGATACAAATCCACAAGTCGTGCTAATGTGCGAAACACACAGCGAGCCTTTGTGGTCATGGCAGAGCAAAGCCTGATGGTCAGCAACTGTCACCCCACATGGCTCGCACCGAGAGCACCAACACCGAATGATGCGATGTGCAATGAACTTCGAGAGTGAGATCCAAGAATGAATATTACACTTTGTAGTCCGCTGGATACATCGACTGGTAAAATCTTATAAGAAGCCGCATATAGAAGATAAGATGCGAGTATAAGACGGAATCCAACAATGTAGCAGTGACGACTGAACTATCAGATAAGCCTCCTGCACAGAGTGGACAACCCGCTTGGATGCCAGTCAGAAAACCCTGTTAGAGGTCTGCTCTTCAGATTAGAGGTCCCTGTGGTAGCAGTTCGCCGAAGGTGTTACCGTATTCGTCCATTCCTTATGCATGTAAAAGCGTAATTCGACTTATAAATCGTTGAAAATTGCAGTCCCAATCTGTAGCCAAAAGAAAAGTCTGCCAATGGATACGATAACAAACACATAATTGTTGGAGTTTGTAGGTAGAGCTTATGGAGACATGTTTCTTTTTGTTTGCAATGATTTTTGGTTGCAATGATCTTTCTTTTGAGTGCAGCTATTAGTAACTATGCTGTAGTCAAGTAAAGTATTAGCAGAAATGCAAGTAGTGGATTGCCTGCCATTCCTTGATTGTAGTACAGTCACTCGACTCGAACACCAGCCGCTCCACTAATATCTTCTGCTAATGCAACGATATCCATTCTCTAGTTACTTCGTACATGACGCTGCATCAGTGTTCGATCACCTTCAGTCGTATGTTACTGCCTTCGGCACCAACGTCTCCGTCTGCTGCCGATTGCGACAACTACCTGCGAACCGGCAATACAAAGTCACCCCATAGTCGCTAACATTCACTCATTCCGCAGTACCAAAAAATACATCTGAGTGCCACCAGTCAAATCCACATTCATCCGTTCTTTCCAGCGAAGTGATTTAATTTGCCTTCAAATTTCCTATTTCTGATGGAGGAGAAAGATCTTATCATAAATAAGTTCCGGAGAAACTCCATCATTCACGTCTTTTCCAGTAACTTTTTTGTGGGAATGGCTTTCTTAGCTCGATTGTGCAAGAAGGGATTACCAAGGATTACTAAGCTTGTGACTTATGTTTACTACCAGAATGAAACATTGTTCGTTTCATTCGATGATCCCTGTAAAAACATTCAAAAGTTATATTTCATGTGTTAACATAATTTTCCTGTTATCAAAACACAGGTGCGTCACCTCTGCTTCGCAGAGGCTCGCCCTGTCCAGTATAAATGAAGTGAAATCAGTGGTGTTGATGCCGTATTATGATCTTTTCTTGATAAACCGCGGATGAATTGGTTGAAAACCCTCAGGCTTCTACGTAATGTTATGAAGCATCCTTAGCGATTTTAATGAACGACAAGAAATAAGCGCGTTATTATATAGCATCGATCCGCCTTGATCTACAGTTACTAGTTCATAGTAATTTCAAAAAAGCTCCTATTGGTACCTTTATAATATGTGCTCCTCAGCATTCATCTGTATCAGATGACTGTTACGTTGTGCGTCACCACTACATTGAAGCGCTCGAAAATTCTATTGGGGTATGATCTAGTACAATAACCGACTAACAAATTTGCCAGATGCAACACTACCCGATCCCATTTTTTGATTCTAAACATGAAGCGAGAGGATAAATGAAAGAATAACCGCCCACTTAGCTGCCTAATAAAAGAGTTTTACCGGTAAGGACCAAAAAACTTCTACCTTGTTGCAACTTATGTCTTTTATAATCTACAAAATGAACTTACTCGGAGTAGCCAGTCTCCTTGAGGACAGCTGGATTGGAGCTATACGCAAACTGGAAACGGTCACGTTCAGTGTCTGCAACTTTCAAGAAGGAGTCCTTCAACTTGCTGTCGCCTTCGAAGAAGCCTGAACAGAACGAATAAGTCTCTAGATCACATGCCAGATGCGTGGCACTCACCAATGCAAGCACTCTCATCTCCAGATATGAACTTCTTGAACTCATCCAAAGATGTGAGTTCTTTAGCGGATGGTCCTGCTTGTCCTCGCATGTACTTTACGATTCCTTCGGCATCTCTCGGCCCTTCATAAGCCTGAGCTTCCACACCATTTCGGAATATCTTCAATGTTGGAAATCCCTGCACGCCAAACTTGTCGCAAGTGGATTTCTCAACAGTACAATCGACCTGAAGTGAACGGTGTTGTGTCAGCTGCAATCCCATAGACTAGACTACAATGGTCTAGATCAGACATAGTAAACAAAAAATGTATACCTCGATAAGCGTGATGGGAGGATCATTCTTTTTCAGCTTAGTGGCCGCCTTCTCAAACTCTGGAGCTATTTTTTTGCAGTGGCCACACCTGGAATGGAGACTCGGTTAAAATGACGAAAAAATCCTGTAGGCCTAGACTGTTCCCTAAAATGAGCAATTTTTTGAGCACCATATCTAATCCTTCCTTCGAATCCGAACCTGTGCAATCTATTAATGGTTGACAACACTATTACTGATGATCATACACACTGCCGCTGCGCAAATTTGAACTCTTGATCGAGTTGAACGCTCGCGATACTACCTTTGTTTGAATAGATTGTAAAGGCTGCCGTATCTCTGTGGCAATTGCGATATGAAAGCCCACCTGAGCAATTATAGACGTTATGAGCAAATAAAGACAATGAGCACTATTACACCAGACTGTCACTCGCGGCTAAAGGGGCACCAGATAAGATTTCCATGACCCATTATACTGAAAAGGTGCCAGACATGCTGATGTCCTCAGTACGAGTCCATGAGAACAACTTTTGTCCAGGGAACTAAAACGCTGATCTATTCCAGTTTTTTCGTACATGGGTAATTCCGGCCACACAAGATCCCAAGACTGCCAAAGTGACACGATTTGATAGTCACATGAATTGAGAGATCTTTCCAAATGTACCAGAAATTTCAGCAGAACTCCACAAAAAAAAGGCATAAAAGCAATACCAGAACCTTGGTAAATCACGGTCTCATCAACAGGATACTATTTCGTTCTGTTTTCACAATTAAAATATGAAAAGAATTTTAGATTGTAGGATACACGATTCTATGGTGGAGTCGAATCGAGCAACGTTTTCTATCACTCAATTTTTTTAGCTTGAAATGAAAGCTGCTCCTATACTGAGTCACATAGTCACTGCATATTTTATCATCAGTAACTCCACTAAACTCCCTGCTATCCAACTTTTTATTATAGAAAATGTAATACATGGTACCTAAATGAGCCCAATTCGTCATGGTTGAAAAATCCTTAGATTTCGCTACCATTCTATGCAACTTCCTCTTTCAACAACCACAGAATGAACGCCGTCTACCAGTTTGAGGAATAAAATACTGAAGCTCAAGCTAAGTAAATTCTAACTTCAGTTTGCATCACGGTCAAGACATGCGTGAAGATCTCCGTCGCGAACACGTGTACAATTTCCACAATCCCAAAGTTTTTTTGCATAAAAAAACAGACTAAATGTCTTGAAATTAGTCTAAGAACGGTTCTGAGGTACTTATGGATATGTCTGAATACTGGATGATTGGTTCGCTTCTACACAGAGCGAGTGCATATACGCGCTGAGTTTATGTCGAGTTGGCTGCCTACGTGGAGCGCATGATTTCTAATAGCTAGAATTTAATTAATAGTGATGAGAACGCTGGATCGACTGCGATTGTAATCCAAAATGCTTGCGCCCTATATTGAAAGCTGAGAAAACATATGCAGCAATTTTTGAGGATTTCGTGCCACTAGGCTTACTTTTAACACATTGACGACAAAGTGACCCACATGGTGGGTTATGCAATGAGTGCCACGTGGGACGATGTGACCCACGTGGTGGGTCATGACTATAATTTCGTCAAAATGAATACAATCTTGAGGTACATTCGCTTCAGAGCTCCTACGCTCTGATTCCAGTGATTACTTCGGAATTTTTTTCTGCTTCTTAGAATCACCGTAGATTCATTGTAGATGAGGACCTGCTTAATTTTAGCTGAAAATTTCCAACTTTTTGTAGAAGGCATTGTCCCACAAGGCAGACAACTGAAAATACGCGTTGTCGTCAACGTGTTAACAGCCTGGCTGCATGGATGCGTCAAGCCAATGTCCTTTTTTGTCCACTTGTTTTGGGCCAATTGAGACGGGCTAATTAACACCAAGAACCGAAGAACCGCGAATTAAAACTCCTTCCACATACGCATTATCTTAGTGACTGTGTCCAAAGCTACACAAACTCATCTACTCATTCAAGCGCAGCTTTGCAGTGCGATTTTAGTTGGCAATATATCTACAGGGAAGCAGACTCGTATCAAAAATCTGGAAATGTTTCCTCACGCAGCAATTTTTTGACGAACATAGGACATGATGCAATTCCCAATAACTGAGTCCTGCGCTGTAAAGTAACGCTGGTTAAGTTTTTAGAAAGCATTCAGCTCACGCCAACTGAGAAACCACCTTTCGTCAAGTTCATGTTTGAAGCTCAAAATGACTAGGTTTTCTAACAGTGCAACGCAACAGATAGTTTCTCGCTGAAGTTTCCTAAAATACCAGGGACACAAAAAATGCCGACTCAGGGGCATTTGTATGCATCAATTTTCAACTTTCTTTCCTTAACACTGAGATCGATGCTTCAAGACAGACTTTATGGTCCTAGTCACCCTAATTCATTTACAACATATTTTCACTTGGGAGTTTTGCTTAGTATTATGGCTTTGGATAGACTGCCTAGTATTGATGACTTTGATAAAACTGTGGAAGTCAAATTTCGTGTCTTAGCCATATGAACTTCCTATATTCTTTGATTTCAAATGCCTGCACTCGAAATTTTCCTGAAATGCTACCCTGGCTTGAAAAACATAAAAACTAACCAAGGAGCGTAGAATTTCACCAGCGCTACTTCGTGTGACTTGATTAGCTCCTCGAAGTTGCTGTCGGTGTAAGCCAGCACATCCCCATCAGCAGAAACAGCCAGGAACAATGCCGTCAAGGCAAAAACGACCCTCATTCCTAATTTTTTACCTGGAAAAAGCTAAGATAAGAGACTCGGATAGCTTTTCAAGGAACGACAGACAGGAACGCCACAACAGTGCGAGGAGAGAACTGCGAATGCGAGCGTTCTAGAAAGTCGGTGTGAGGAGTGGCTGGGACAGCATCGCGCTAATCGATACGTACGAGAAAACACATCGAACTGAAAATTGGGACAAACAGCGCCGTTTAACCGCATATCTCCGTACAGTTATCACAACTTATCAAGTATGAAGATTCGGAAGAAAACGACATTCAACAGCGCTGTTTGTGGACCCATTTTCGAAACGGGGATTGAAACGGGGATGACGAAATCGAGCCACGAACGTCCCCAAGGCGACCGCCATCTCTACGCACTTTTCGCGCACGGGACCTGCGCGAATTCTACTGCCGCCAGCTCGGGTAATTAGTGGAGATCACCCAGAACAACCTTACACACGTAACAACGAAAGCTTGCGAATATCGGGTCTTATCCAAGCGCAACCAGCCGGGTTATGCACGTGTGGCTTGCCGCGATTGGTCGATTGCCGCTGGGCCACGTAGGCGTGACGAGCCATGAATCCATGCGCACCCAGCCACGAATCCATGTCACCTTTCATGCTGGTTACGGTAAATGACCGAATCCGCATGCAGAGGCCGCTTTCGTCACTGTGCTCAACAAAATAGTAATGTAATCAGTAAATATCAACTCTTTGTGGTCCTAGAATCATCCTCGAATATCCAGAAGCTCTCGAATATTCTTCGTGATTGCAAAATTGTCTCCCCTCTTTGGAATTCCAACTTTTACTTTAAGGCTTCAAACATGAGTGACGCTGAGGATGATGCTGTGCCAAATATCTCCCTGAAAGTAAAAACGACAACGGCAGCTTATGATGTGGAAGTCAAGGAGAATGCTACAGTCTCCGATGTGAGTGTTTTAACCCATCATTTTTTTGCATTTTTGGAATATGCAAATCAAGTGAAATAACTTTGAACAGATTTCCTTGGAAAGTACTACATGGGGAGATTTCACTTTTTTGGTTCAACGGTATTGAATCGATTTCCTAGCTTGATGGCATACCCTAGGTTTCTTTGCGGGTTTTGTTGCCCAACGGCGTATGCCTATGCAACATGAACTTTATGCCAGCTTAGTGGAATTGTTGATGAAAATATCAGTGTGTTTCTTCTTTTTGGAGACAAATTCTCTTCAAGGGAATGTGGCAAAATGATGTGTCAGCTCTGAATGGAACAAATGTAAACACAAAACTGCTCCGAAAAATTGTTGCTGCCAACAAGACGCTTCTTTTTAGCCTTTCCAGGCTGTTCGAATTAAGGAATGAAAGTGTTCTTTATATTCAAGTGAGTATACTCTTGAGAAAATTGTCTGGAACGGAAACTGGCTTCGGCTTGACATTTGCAAAATGGATATTTTTTTGTACAAGCTTCTGCATAAACAAGCTGAGTTTGTTTATGAAAGGAGCAAAGGTTAAGAAGAAAAATTGTGTCTTAGGGCCGCATGCACTAACATTTCCGCTGGGGAGGGGATCGCAGCTTCAGAAGAAAGCTTCATATCCTGAAGCTCCGGATATCTGGATTTCACGCTGTCTACCTGTCCGTAAGTACTCCCACCATCCTTCACTATGAACATATTGAGCAGAAGCGAGAAGCTGTACAAGCCGCATTTCCCAGCTTTTTGTAGGATCCCCTGATGATCCCTGGGGGACGAACATCTATTCTTCAAAGTCATTTTTCTTTCTCCGAAGTTAACGAAAACCTTCCAAAGTTATACTGAGCATCTAACACAACAGTGCTAAGCATGTTGCTGATGAGAACAAATGAATTTTTGAAAAATCGAATTTTTCGGTATACCCCAAATCTCGACCTGTGGATCATCGAAAATTTCATGACTTCAAAACATCATTTGTTCTTATCAGCAACATGCTTACCACTGTTGGGTTACATAATATGCACAACTCTGGAAGTTTTTCGTTAACTTCGGAGAAAGAAAAATGACTTTAAAGAAAAGCGCCGGGGATCATTAGGGATCATACAAAAGCTGGAAAATGCGATTTGTACAGGTTCTCGCTCCTGTTCAACATGTTCATAGTGAAGGATAGTAGGAATACTTACGGATAGGTACTCAACGTGAAATCCAAGTATCTGGAGTTTTGAAATATGAAGCTTTCATTTAAGCTGCGATCCCCTCCCCGCGGCCATGTTAGGCTTGAGATATACCTGACGATAGAGGTATAGCGGGTGTTGGCGAATCGCTGATGTCTGCGCTGCCTTTAGCTGCTCGTGGCTGCTGCGCTGGGTACGCTTTGGGTGCAAGAACGAGTAGCTTTACCCATTACTATGCTTAGCTTAGCCCATTAGGAAAGTAAGTTTTGAGAACTATCAAAAACTAAAGAATATGATTACGTGTTCCAAAAAAAAATCATCCTGTTCTCATCAACAAATCTTTTTAAGAAGCATACAGTTGCAAACCAAATGTTGCACTAGTACTGAGAAAATAATCATTACTATTATTTTAAGCGGTGTCGCAATAGAATCTTGATTTGTGCTTGAGGCAAAAACCGAACGACCTAGGTCATAGCTGCCATTAATGTATTGAGGTGTATTGGTAACATCCCACTAAATCGTAAATTTTCTAATTTTTTGTTAATCCAATTTGATTCTTCGCAGAAGTTTTGTGCGGTTTTCATAATTATTTGTTCGTTCACTTTGTCAATTCTCTGTTAATTTTCCTATCGAAGCATTTGCGTTTTGGTCTTGTAAATTTGTCACAGTTCAGTAACGCAACAAGCGCTCTAAAAATCCTTCAGAAGTTCAAAAGGATGTTAAAAACGGGCAAATCCGAGCAAAATCAGCGCTAGCAGCTTGAAGCAGCTGAGAGAAGCTCACCAAAAGTGAGCTTTATATCGCCTAGCAGCGAGGAGCAGCTACGAGCAGCAAGCAGCAGCGCAGAGCAGCGCAGCATCTCCAGCTATAGCGGGTCTGTATCGCGTTCGCTGCAGCAGCCAGAAGCAGCAGCGTTGCATGGCGTCAATCGATACGCATAAAAGGCGTTGCTGCTGGCAGCGTCTTATCGTCAGCTATAGCGACCCATCGTCAAGTATATCTCAAGCCTTAGTGCATGCGGCCCTTAGTGTTTAGCACAGACTTAGCTAATAGATGAGCATTCAGAAATGTCTTCAGGTTTTAGTGTTTGAAGTACTACTTTGTCCCCATCTACTTACGTGATCGCTGAAATATTATCAAGCGCAAGAGGATTACTTTCAACTGCACTGTTGTGGCCATTTTGAAGTTTAAGTATAAGTTCAGAGCATCATTTACTATATGGCGGTTATAATCTTGAACATGACGCAAGGATTTCAGGGTAAATAATTTCGCGATATCATGCTATGATTGAAGGTTACAGGTCAAGGACGTTCTAGTGAGCAAGTTGAACAATGTAGAAAAATCTCTTCTTTGCCTCATCTTTTCGGGGAAGATACTCAAGGATCACGAAAAGTTGCAAGCGCACAGTGAGTTGTCTTGTCTTCTTCAGGTAGTACTTGTCCAAGTCACATTTACATCCAGATATCGGTGATGGTATGGCATTACATCTGGTGGTACGTCAGGGCCAGCAGAATCGGGTGAGCTTTTTTGTATTTTTCCGATGCAGTTTCGGCGAAATAGGGACTTTGAGTCGGTACATCACTATGACCGTTCTCCACTTGGCTAATCAATTGCTATTCATATCATTTTCAAAAAACAATGCTTTTGAGAACTTTGAAAGCTTCCAATGCTGTTTAAACACCCCCGTCACAAATAGTAACCAGGTTGCTCTTTAGCGTTAAAGCATTCCAGGGAAACCAAAGTAGCGCAACTACTGCGAATCCAAGTACTAACAACACAACAACGAATCCCTCTCAAGTGAGTTTCACTTATTCTCTAACCGTTATATATACACTTGTTGAAGTCATCCGATAGGTTTGCCTACAGGGCTTTCAATCTGAGTGTTATGGTCGACGTGGTTCAGGTCCTCGCGAGCCGTGTCGCTTAGGTCCCTCACGTGGTACACTACCGCATCCGATACCTCGAAGGCCTTAGCAGATGCGGTATTGTACAACGTGAAAGTCCAAGCGAGGCGGGTTGCGAGGATCTGAACAACGTCAACCGTGACATTCAGATTGAAAGCCCCTGTAGCTCGTATAGCTTCCTTTTGCGCAGTTTTCGTTGGAAAGGTGACTTTAGCTGTTTCTAGCTAGAGCTAGATAGCTGCTTTTAGCTTTCATAGCTGGTCAACGAACATCGTTTTCGCATGAGTAGCAGTGTATGCGCAATTTTTTGCTATCGAGTGTTCTGTTTGCCCTGTCGACCTAGCAACTTTTTTGTAGGCGTGAGTCACTTGCAAATGGAAACGCTATTTTCTTCATTATAGAGATTTTTTTCATCAAGAAAACAGCTACAACCTGTCTAACCACTTTCTACCCGATTAGTTAACGAAAATCGCATTTTTTTTTTTGATTCCAGTAAATTCAAGCAAATGCGCATATGTCAGTCATAACGTAACTTTTTAGATAGGCAGTTTTTTGGTATCTTTGATTCCGAATATCCTGACGCAACCCACTCGACCACTTTCCTATATTGCACCATTGCATGTGTATCACTTAAGTGATTTGTATTGATGTGTTTAACATTTCAGGGATCAGGTGCCTCCAATTCCAACCCCTTATTCGGTGCTAACTTAGGTGCTGGTGGTCCTCAGGTAAGGTCTAATTTTGCTTGAAAAGATGTGCCAATGTGTAGAATCGATCATCTTTCATCTTCATTTGTTCTCCTCATGGGAATCATTGTGCAGGCAATGGCTCAGCAGATGATGAATAATCCGGAGATGATGCGTCAAATGATGGACAACCCTATCATGCAGAATATCATGGGCAACCCTGAAATTTTCCGTTCCCTTTTTGCTAACAATCCACAAATTCAACAGCTTATTGAGGTAAGTTCCAGCAGATCTTTTTTATGAACGCTTTCAGAAAACTGTAGCCGTTAAATGAAGTCCATTGCGATGTTAGAATGTCTTACTAATATGTTTGAGTATCGTCATTCGGATGTACTGTTCGTTTTAAGCGCAACCCGGAACTTGGTCATGTCTTAAATGATCCCGATATGATGCGCCAAACTATGGAAATGATTCGCAACCCGAATATGTTCCAAGAAATGATGCGAAACCATGATCTTGCCATTCGAAACCTCCAGGTATATGGCTGCAATATCAGGGTTATCAAATACATCCCCCTATTTGAATATGTGTAGGGGATTCCTGGCGGTGAAGCTGCGCTGCAGCGTCTGTATCAGGATGTACAGGAACCTCTTCTCAACAGTGCCACGAGTAGCCTTGCAGGAAATCCGTTCGCATCTCTACGCCAAGGAGACGACTCTGTCGGTGAGCATCGAGATCAACATCGTGAAGTGCTTTGACTGTGCAGTACTTCGCGAACATTCCAGCTTCTCGAAGTCAGAGGGCTGGACAAGAGAACAGTGAAGCACTCCCTAATCCATGGGGCGGCGGCAGCGGTTCAGAGCAGCAGCAGCAAAATACACAGTCAGCTGCAGGAAATGGGGGCCCTGGAGGATTTGCTTGTATGTTTGACTGTCCTTTCGTATTGATGAGGTTGTAATTTGACATTCAGCTCTTCTGGGCTCTTCTGGTATGAATTCTTTGATGGAGCAAATGATGTCTGATCCAGCAATGATGCAGTCATTGATGCGGCCTGAAATGATGGATTTGTTTAGACAAAGTATCGCGCAAAACCCACAAGTGATGCAACAGGTACAGCTTAATGCAAAGAATATGATAGTTTGAAACCACTGATAAGATCTGACTGCCATCTCTACTATGAAAACAATGCTTTGTAATCTTCCACTTCAGATAATGGAACAGAATCCCTTGGTTGCGAACAATCCTCAGTTGGCAGAGCAGCTGCGGGCGCAGCTGCCCAACATGATGAACATGGTTTGGATTTCTTGCTTTTTTTGTGTTCAACCCGTCAAGAGTTTGATGATGGAGGTGTCATAATCTGGTAATAGCGAGGTTAAGGTCATCCTAGGATATATGACCATTTTGTTTGACGTCTATGACATCATGACATTTTGATTTTGTGACGGTCACGCGTAAGTTAGTGCTCCGTCGCTATTTTGAACATTGCTATTCGATGCAAACCGTTTGGTTTTGTATAAGAAAATTTAGCAGATCTGTCGCACACCCAATGCATTTATCAGCAAGCATCGCTTTCTCTTAATCTCGCTTAACCTGTATGGACATTCCATCCATTTAGCTGAATTTGAGTAATGTCTACCGCTTATCAGCGCCCCCAATCCATTTCCTTCCCTCTTCAAAGCATTCACCATTCTCCTTTCACTCAGCTTTCGAATAACCTCCCATCACCACATTCTTCAGATGAGCAACCCCGATGTCATGGCTGCAATGACAAATCCCCGCGTCTTGGAGGCTCTACGTATGATCCAACAAGGAATGGATACGATTCGCCGTGAAGCGCCAGCATTGGCTGGGTGAGTTACTGAACCGTGAAGCTGTGATCATATTTCTCAACGAATTTCGGGCAAAATATACGCTGAGAGCATACTTCGGGGTTTATCTTGCTCTTAGGTTTCACTTTATCATTTTGATATCTTTCATGAAAACGGGTATGCGCTCGTAAGGTAAATCTCACCTTTAAGGTTTGTTGATGAATACGACCGTTATCTATTTTTCCATGCAGTTGTCTTTTGAAATACTGTACTCGCTAGGAGCATATAACACTTTTGGGCGTGATCGGATACAGAGCAGCAGTGTTACTGACTCGTTTTTAGGATGTTTGGCAGCAGTTTCGCAGCAGCAGCAAATGCTGCATCTGCGACCGGTGCGACTGTCGGAGGAGGTGGAAATGCGGACGGTGCGCGACCTGCTCAGTCACAAAACAGTCAAGACCCGATGAACATGCTCAACAACATGTTTGCAGGAATGAACACTAACACCGTAAGTGAATATTTAGTTACCAGCCCTCTTTGCCGCCACGCGGCAGGACCGTCTAGTATGGCGCTGCCTTATAATTTCGTTTTACTCTATAGTGCGAAAATGTAAAATTTGCAGAAAATTTGCCATTTTGCACAAATTACTTAGATTCATAATCTGTGCAAAAAAAATTAAGGACACAACTCCGGTTTCATCATTTAATTTTGATTCAACATTTTAAGCGGCGGATATTACGGAAACCGCAAAAAATCAGTGAATCGATGGAGACAGTTTGTGTGTTTCGAAAAAAATTACTTATTAACACACGCCCCCCCCCATACATCATGACTACCAAATTTGGTCAATATTCCTTCTATCCTTTTCGAGCAAAGATGCGAAAGTGGCTAAATCAAATATCAGAAAAGTATTGATAAGTGAGTGAGGTGACCATCTCAGTAAAACTAATGCTGATGCTTTGGAGGCAGAGTCATGGTTGGATTTGTGAATAGCTTCTTTGCGGGAAGCTTATAACCTTCCGGAGGGAAACAGGCTCTGTCGCTGCATTTGCCAAAGTGTGAGCTTCACTTGAGAAGAATGGTTGGGCTATTCTCTTCTTGGACTACCTCATATTCAATTGTGAACGGTCATCCAAACGGTTTCTGACTGGGTCGTAGTGTTACGTATGCAGTATACACATAGTATACACATTCTTAGTTCGATGTCGCTGTTAGCAACTACTTCGGTTACCGGTAGTTAGAGGTAAATATTAGTACCTGAAGTTCTCACATGGACAATGATCTGGAGAGCTCAACCAAGCTTGCACAAATGGCCGCTCTTTTCATCTTTATAAGGGCGAGTCAACACCAAACTCCGCAGTACTTTCCCAAAGCGCATCCGTGTGCGTCTTTGAGTATGAAACAGAGCAGCGTTAAGTTTAGTTTTTGGCCACAATCGGATCATAGACTGCTGCGATAAGATCTTCAAATCATTCTACACATAAGAGGCTCCCAGGGACCCGGATCTGCCTTTACAAAGCCGAGTGAGTTACCAGGACATGTGGCGTGCACGTAAACATCAGCAGACACTTTGATGTTCTTCTGACATTTCAATATCTTCAGAGCTTGTTGCTGTTTCTGAACTTGTATCTCTTTCATCAGCTTATGTTCCCATTTTGAAAATCAATTTTTTTGCAGCTAAGCGCAAATCAAATGGTGAAATGAATCAAATGCTACACTTTCAAGTGCTCTAACGTTTGGTGTGGATGCGAGTTTTTCGTTATTTCACAAAAACCTAAAAGTGCTTGTTCATGATTATCCGAGCTCTTGAAAGGTGATGTTTCTTCAGTAGACCACAAATGCGCATGAGCTCAGAAAAAGCGTTTTTATCACTAAACTCTGAAGGAAGTTTCGTTCCAGTCGGTGTGCGTTCCGCTAGATGAATGTTTTTGGTACTACGTACTCATCATGAGCATGTAACGTCAGTCAGGCTTGGACCTTCGCGCTAATCAGTGTTTGCAGTTTTTGAAGAAGTATCACAATCATTAGAAGGGGAACGATTATTCCAAACAACAATCTGTTTACCATCCTGCGCGAGAAAAGATTGCTCGAAAGTAATTTGCTCGAGTTCAAGAAATGCAGAAGGTATCCTAGAAAACTTGCTGAAGTTTTGTGTACCAGACGGTTAATTTGTCTTCGCAGACCACACTTTGTTTCTATAGTGAGCTCTCTTTTCGAAAAACTCGTTTTGTTAGAATCTTATATCAGACTAGATGGCTTACCCGGCTCCGCCCGGCCCTGTCAATAATATATTTGTAATCAGCATGCTCGATCATCTCCCTGTGCCAACTCCAGCCCTGTAGCTCAAATTTTGCAAAAAATCGATAAAATCGATATCGATCGAGACGAAAAGTAGCCTATGACACCCGCCGGGGCCCGAAGTGTATGTGTGCCAAGTTTGGTCCCGATCGGTTCAGAAATGAAATTTTCTATTCGGAACAAACGTACAGACAGACAGACAGACAGACATACATACAGGCATACAGACATACAAACAGACATTCAGCTTTATATATAAGATTAGCACTGAGTGTTACTTCATTCACAATGCTTTTTTTTTAATTGAAAGCTTGCAGCGCAACTGAATCCATAATCTGTCCATAGAAAACCATAGGATGTGTCTTTGGAAATTCCATGCGAAGCACATCAAGAAATTTGCTTGACTATTTTTTCGTATATCATTTGGAACATTATCTCGTATAGGTATTAAGTGACATGTTTATGGAAAACTATGGAAAGCCTTACAGGTGCAGCTATCTTCGAGCGCAGGTTTTGTCGTACAATCTCGGCATCCAAGGAAACTATATAGATCTGTAAAATCTGCTGGCTTGTAATAGCTTTTACCCGATGGCCGGGTTATAGAGCTTACTAGGGATCTGAACATTACGGTTGACAAGTGGCCATGCCATTGTGCGTCCTAGAAATATGTGGCATAAAGTTCCAGTTGTTTGTGGTAAAAGGCGCTATAATCACAAACTCATTAGACCCACGAAATTTTTTGAAATCTAGCATCTCACTTGGAAACTGGTAAACTATTTCCATTGAAGTTATATCATCCTGGAATCATTGAACTTCTGGGCCTGTCTCCTTTTAAGATTACCGTAGCTATCGTGTGATGATCTTGACGTAGTCTGGGTGAGCTCGTAGTAGCTAGCATTTGGAAGCATACATTTGCCAAAATTTAGTTACTCAAGCTGCCGAACTTGATTTTTAAAATATAATAATATAATAATATTCTTAAAATTTCGCAATAATTTATGACACGAGTTTGTTTATCGTAAGATTGTCGGGTAACTAATTGCAACTAGTGCAGGCCAAAACCATTTTGCAACGCCTAGTCACGACTGAAACATTATGCCATGATGTGCGCCGCTATATACCAAGTTAGTAAAGTAGTTTCACTGAATAAATTTGACGGCTGTAGCAGCATAAACGTTCCCGATAACCACCCCTGTCCTATCGTTGTTGCAATGCCTCGCAAAAGATTACGTGTGGAAGTGCGAGTGTGACTATATATAGTTGTATCTCCTTCGTTCCTGAATCAACGAAAACGCGCAGATAATGAGCAACGGATGTGTCTGATTTGCCTTGGCTCTAATGCAATTATCATCTCGAGTTTCAGCCATAAGCTCTTTATGCTCGTCGCTCTAAGGAATAGCGTGTCAAATTGCACAAGCACCGTGCCTAGAACGCTGAAATCATAGAAGAAATTATGAGGCAGAATCTATATCGTTATAAATAATTTAGGAGCGGCGCTATATCATGCTTCGAGTCACCTTCCTAGGAGATCTATTTCCGGGAGAATAGCGCGTTTAATTCAGTGCTAGAAAATTCCTTTATAGTCCTTCATGTTCAATCTTTCGTATGCAGCATCAATGAAAGAATCTAGAATTCTTTGCTTTTCGTTCTGCTCCCTGGCATGTAATTTTGAGCGTCAATTGTGTGAGATGGCAGCATAAGTGATTAGGCCCCATTATTGCATAAGCTGAGCAAACAGCCATAATGTGTTCGCAACACGAAATCGCAGTTGACATGGTATATGGAGCATTGTCATGCAGCTTTCAGAATTCATTAGTACTTAGAGGCACTGCCAAAGCCCTGATTGCTTTGGACGCGTTCTGTCAATAAGCAACGAGTGCATTTTCATACTTAAAGAAAAGTGACTTGGAAGCATAGGAATCACCTTTAGCACCTATCTGTAAGAATTTTTTTCTGGTTTTCTTTTTGGCGACTAGAGCTGATGAAACGAAGTGGTAAAAACAGTTACAGTGTGTCTGGTTTGTAACATAGGAAAGATCACTCAAGATGGTCGCCGCAATGATTTTCGTAGAAATTACATAGTTATATATTCAAGAACCAACAAACTCCCTTTCTGCTTTCCTGACTTGCTTTTCGTCTGAGTAGTTGTAACACTGACATATACTTGAAAAGGATGTTGATAGCGGTTGGCATCTGTGTATTCGATACTTTCAGATTTAGTTATTCTAAGATGGAACGTACTAGTCTAAGTAGGCAACGGGTACTGCAGGTCATACAGGGTGTCCTAAAAAATGTACCTTGTTTGATTGTTAATGACTCTCTTGTCGTGAAGTCTTTCGAGAACCTTCAGGTACCGTTTTGTAGAGCTGGCTTCAACTTAGATTGTGTATGGAGAGAATTACCGATCGCATCGAATTACTGTAGGGTTAGGGTAGAAACTTTGACGAGGGCATTGAGCCATGGAGGGCTATATATCTGGTTTCGAAAAGAAACAAAGCAACCCAAAACTCTCACACTAGGCTAGTTAAAGTTGCTGATTCTAAATATGGACTTTGCATCTCATCATAATTGCTTCCTCAAAAAGTAATGCCAGTTGCTTGCCGGGTGCTTTTACACCACTACGAAACACTCCGGAGGTTCCTACCGTATTGCTACAGTAATGATGGGCGGTCGGTGATTTGCTGCATGCTGTAAATCTAAGTCGAGGCCAGCTCTACAAATGGTACCCAAAGCTCTTCGAAAGATTTCAGGACAAGAAAGTAATTAACCATCAAACAATAGCCACATTTTTTAGGACACCCTGTATAATGCTCATCTCAAGATGAATCCGAATAGTCACTCGCGCATAAACGTACGAGTAGCAGCAATTTCCCAAATATTTAGTCTTTCTTCTAGCAAAGGCCATCAAACACACATGGAGCGAGCGTAATGAGCGCAAACCTTTGCTTTCTACTAAGCCATTCAAACAAGATTGGTAATATACGCTTGAATTGTGCTTGAGCGTCAATTGTCTTTCCTCATGATTCTTCGACATTTCGAGGAGTCCCTTGACTTCTGCAAATGTAATGAATCGTGGTGAGTGGCGATTGATCGCGCTATCCGCGTTGATCGTTTCGCATTCAGCACTCAGTGATGTGCGTTGGCTGTGCCGTACGCATTTATCATCGCGCGAAGAAAGGCGAATTTGTATCGCGCACTATATAATATGACTGCGCCGACGAACACGCGGTCCGTCTTTGTGCCATGAAAGACGCGAGTGAAGCGGCAGTTACTGTAGCTTCTGAATATTAATGTGCACTTGCGCCGACCCATTTCACTGCCGATTGAGGAGCTGTAGATTCGTTTTTCCAAGGTCAACTATGGGTACTGAGATCAGGTTTTATTAAATGTGGCTCAAAGCTTCTGAGCAGTGCTTAGCTGGAGAATGAAAAGTTTCCCTGCTTCACTTTAGAAGAACTTAAAAGTTGCTGGTGAAGTCATATATACTTTTATGTGGGCAAAACCCTTTTTTTTTTTCAAAGTAATTCCTCCTCATTCCGACAAAAGAGGAAACGCTTTTCCTCTTTTGTCGGAATCTTTCCGTGTGGGACATAATGATTGCTGCTGCTGTTCCTCGTTCTAGAAATTTCTGAAATAGACCTCCGATGGTTACTAGCATAGTGAACATCGTTGTCGTATTGCGTCACCCCCGTAGGGTCCCATCAATCCCTCAGAGAATCACGTTGCCGCTCGCTCTTATCGCTGTTTTATTAATTCCGCGTGTTGCGATCGAATCCAGCATTTTATGGCCCATAACGACCAGTGGAATCATTCTACGGACGAGATATATATATTTTTTGCGGCGACGTCCAAAATTACTTCTATTCGCTTAGCAAATCTGGAGGAAGCTCCCTGTGGATCGTCCAATTTGTTTTTCTACGATCTTGGAGCGTCTGTGAAAGTGCTGGCTTCAAAGGAACCACTCAGAAGAGTTGAAAGCGTATAGTAACTGGAGCAGCCGCGCGTTGTTTGACGATGCGGTCGTTCCTTTGCCGATTGTGAGGAAGCCAAGTGCCAGCCGCAGCTCATTGTTAGCCAAAGATCGGTGGCGCTTTCAACGTCGTCCATTTGTTACATCAAAGTCACACCGCGAAATGAGTGTTGCAATCACTTGGATTGACTGGGAGCATTCTGATTGAATGTGTGATGCGATAGCTGTTGAAAGTTAATGGTCCATTAGAAAGGTGTGAATAGATGTAAGAAGCTAGCTGAGGATTGTTTTTTCCCCTTTTGTCTGGTGTTTTGCAGTCTTCCAAATTGGTTAATAAGTTATTTATGTAGACTTAACTGGGTCAAAGTAAAGATTCATGTAGAAAAAATTATTTTCTATGGGTGGATCAGTAACAGTTGGCCTTAGATTCCATTCGTACTTCTTGACTATACTTTGTGTTATCTGCTTCGAATTCCTGATCCAAATTCAAAAGAAAATAACAAAATGAAATTTGTATGTACTTGTTCATATTGTTTCTTCAGGATCCTGAGGTGTTGTACGCTTCACAACTGGAGCAGTTAGCTGGCATGGGCTTCTCGAACAGGGCACAGAACATTGCAGGTCTGTCTTTTTCATTCTGCTTCCCAATCGCCTTTGTTTGACTTTTCATCATATTGGTACTTTTTAGCTTTGCGAGCATCGTTCGGTGATTTGAACGCTGCTGTGGAGCGTCTTCTGAACTCTCCTTAACTTTTCTTGTGTTTGTCATGAATCGCCGTATATTTCTATTTTCACTTGTCAGAAATATCTGGATTCCTTAGTATAAGTGCATCATTATGGTGAGTTGTCATGGAGCTAGATTGTAACAAAACTTATATCTGAGCAAAAGTTCTTTTTGCGGATCTTCGCGAATTTTCTGTGGTGATTAATTTCTGTAAGTAAATGTGGTGTCAGTCCGTTTGGCGCAATTCCAAGACAGTCAATCTTGTCGTCGCTTGTGCTACTTAGGCGCGAAGACAGCGTTGTGCTAGTTCACAGAGAGGTGTGCATGTGTGTGAGTGTGCGTGTGGTGTGTAAGTTCGTACGCAGCCGCGCATGGTCCATGATCCTTGTAGAGCAGCACCGAGTCGCGCGTCTCGTTCTGGCAGTGCCAGGCCATGCGAGTAGAGCTGCTTCGTTCTGTGATGATTCCCTTCTTGTCTCAGCCCGTATACTCTTGTCCCCGCCACCGCTTCCAACGCTTCTTCTTTTCATCGTTTTGTTCCTTCAAACGATTTACCCCGTATTTGTCGATTATACATATACATGTATTGAAGGAGATGTATCGTTTTGTTTCCCACTGAGTCTAGATTTATACGATAATAAAGTATCTATACGGCTTTTTGTCCAGGGCAGGGTCTGGCTTCTGTCATCGTAGCGGTGGTAAGTTACAGTCATCGAGGAGGAAAATGGGTGAAGATAATCTTGAAAATGGCAATGGTTGCATATTTTACTAGATGAGTTATTTCGGTAAATGAAATTCGCGAAGGCACTACAGTAAAGGCTGGTAGTAAGGCGACCGTTTGGTTGAGCATACATCACTTAAGTTCCAAAATCAAAATATGTTTTTGGGGGGTTTGTACCCTGTGTAGTTTGGTATAGAGGTTCCCAAACCGGAATCTCGAGTAGCTGCCCTTTTCTTCATTTGAGAGTTATTTGAACTTGGTTTTTGACACTTCTAAGCTCAATTTTAGCGGAAAAGCGAAATTACCTAAATGAGGAGGCTGTTTGATAACCTGACATTCATTTGAGCAGTACAGGTATTCTGATATTCAAAGTCTTCAATTACGGATACCAAGAAGAAGGGGGGGGGGACTTTTCATACGATCGGGGACTTCGCACCTAGCCTTCGCACCTACCTCACACCTACATCGCACCTCTCCATCCACGTAATGAGTAAGATTCTCCACTACGCCTAGGTGAGGGGGGGAGGGGGACTTTTCATACGAACGCTCCCCGATCACTTTGACCTTCTAGCGTATGCTAGGGTGCTGGTAATACGTCCAGTTATCGATTACAATGGACTAAAACGAAACGTCTATTATCAAGAATACGTAAACTAAAAAATACCTTGATTTTATCTGTTGTATAAAGCTTATCGGGTTGAAATAGCGTATCATAGTAAAGATCGTCAGGCCACAGCGAATTCATTTTCGCAAACAACTGGCACAATTGTGGTAATGGATAGTTCGCTTTATCGAGTCGCATGCCCTCCAATGGGTGTAGATATGTCAAGAGGCGCGATTCCTATTGCCAGATGGGCAGCATACAGCACATATTTATTGTTTTATGAAGTTCTAGAATTACTTGAAATTTCGAAAGAAATATATCAGGGAATTTAGGGATTGTTCATTCTCATCATCTTGAAATCGATTTCAAACAAAATTGTGAATGGTCAAAAACACATAAAAATGCAGTTAACAGCAATTTTGCAAATATTTCTGTCAGTTTTCTAGCAAAAGTCGTCAAACTTATCAAGTGGTTACTTTCACAGCTAGTAAGCCAATGAACTTTGCCCGGCACTTTTTGAGTTTTCCCATAGCATGAAACTGGAGTTTTAAGTTGATGACACCCAGAAAAATCGCGCCTCTTGACCGTCTTCCCCCTCCAATATCCCCTATGGGAAGAGTAACACATCCAGGTAATGCTGAAAGGTCGGAGAGGCATGTGACAATACTCCAGTTCAAAACGTTTGCAAAAAAGACCGAATTATGTCGACTTGAATACTAAAAAATTCGTAAGTGGAACGATCATAGTGTTATTTTTCAGCAACACTTTTTGAATGCATACAGTATACAAGTCCAAATTATCCAAATTCGCGGTACTACAAAAGCTAATTTAGATGTTTTTTTGGAATGGAGTTTTTAGGATCTTTGCCAAAAGATGATGTGGAGGCATTCGTATGAAAACTCCCCCTCCTCCCTCCCCCCTCTCTACAGTATACTAGACACGGAGGTGCGAGACTTGACACTTAGCCGTAGGTGTTCACATCTCGCACCTCGGAATTGCTCATCGTATGAAAAGTCACTCACCCCAAGAAGAACAGAAACAATAGAGAATAAGGATGTGAAAGAAAACACGAAAGTTTAACATCGTTTTCGATGAGTAAGCAATTTACTCAATTTCAAAAAAAATCACTGGAGTAACGGGGCTTCCGGGACGTTCAGAAGCATCTGTCATCTCTAAGCTACTGCGAGGAGCTGCGCTAAGCTAGTAATGAGACTTCATCGGAAGAATGAGTGTGATTTGAGAATATCGTGTTTCCCGCCGTTCATCAGTGTTCTGCGCAAGGCTTAGCGGAAGGTCTCACAAGCGTGGGAAAAGGTTTGACCTCTTCAAAAATCCTCCGCCCATCTTCCTCCATCGTGTACCGGATGTTAGTCACCCGTTTTTTGGGGAGCAAACTCATGTTTCTTCTTTATCCAATTTCTTACGGATTTGCTGATAATCATGTATAGTTAATGGGCTGTAGATTATTTGATATTGTTATATTGCCTCTCATAATTCAGTTTTCTAAACTCTATGTTGTGGTTGTGTGTAAAGCCACATATTGTTTGATTACGGTAGAATGATCCTACAGAATTGTGAAAGGAAAACTGCGATTTTTTGATGTACTCATTTCCCAATTGTTACCACAAATCTTCCTCCTATTGTAACCTAATATATATCAGATTCTTTCAGTGACGGGCCAAGAATTTCCTTTGAAATAGGGAAGTGAAATTTTTTCCCGGCCGCGCACTCCATTTTTCAGGATACTTCTTAGATTTCTTGCAGTCGTGACGGCGACATTTAGATACAAAGCTAAATAGTTTCTTTAAATTTTTAAGAATTTTCAAAATATCTTTCAATCACTTGCAAACAAAAGAAATCATTTATGCAAATTGGTAACTAGTATAGACTATCGTCAAAAAATTTGCGACTTTTTTGTGGGGTGAAGGGTGTGAGGGAATGAGGGGGGAGGGGGCGGGGGCGTAAATGCTTAGTTATCCAGATCTAATGCTTATCTGGTGACCCCACATACATGCGAAATAATATTGCTGGAGTAATAAGGAAGATGATAATACTGTACAACTACCTATTTATGTGCACATCAACAACTTTAAAGGAAACTCTACTTTACCAGAAGCGATATATAACATTTACAGAACGATGTTACTTCAAATATTTTTTTTTGATGAAGCCACATGGATCTCCTGTCAGTTGCATACAGACTACTTGACAACATCACATGGGTTATCTTGGTCGAGGTTTGTAACTTTACTCTGACTGAGAGGTTCAGGAACGTTGGTCCCTCTCTATGGCAGGCTTCCGCGAGCGTGTGTCGATTTGACTTATTTTGCAGTGAGCAGGCATTATTGCGGAAATTAAAATGAAGCGAAGCCTCAATAAGGTCTCCTTAGATGGACGTGATAACGGCATAATGAGCATTCATCGCCGCGCTCACACACACATACGTACGTACCCTCGAGAGCAGTGATGATGAAAAGTCGCCGAATGTGCGCGTCGGAGCGCGAAAGGTGCCCGGAACGGAAGCTTCTGGACGGAAGCCGTGTGTACGTGTGTGGATGCTGACCCCTACGGTGACAAGCGGGCTGAGTTTTACGATCAGCAACTGTGGCGATCCATCACAACTCGGATCGCGACTCAAATCGCACCGCCGCGCAGAAGAACGCTAACATGTCACTCATCAGCTCAACCACTCCAAACAACCGAATAGTTGCTAACTTTTGTCGTCGTTCTGTCGCCGCTCGCTGTGTTCTCCTCGCTCTGCGATATCGCATCCCTCTCACTTCGACTTCAATCGTCTCCTCTTAGTCGATTTGAATCCCACCCACCATTAGCCATGCTACTGTCATCGACGATAATTGCCATATTTTTGTCAGAGCTGCGCAAAGCGTTGAATTATTCTGATGGCGCTGCTGCGTTTATCCCTCGATGCTCGTCTTCCGGCCGGAAGACGCGTCCGTCTGAGTGAGAGCAATACACGCATAGCTAGAGCCGAGCTCCAGTATTCATAACGTTTGCAGTCAAGACTAAAAATGTCCTCAGAACTTGAGCCTACTCAAGCCGATGCGAAGGATACCGTAGAAACCAAGCCCAAAATTTGAAGTGTACCTGAAGTTTTTTATCTGAAGAGCGCTTTATATAAGCCGTATTGTCAATAGGAGCTGTATAGTACCAGTCAATTTCAAAAAGTAATTACTTTTCAAAAGCTTCACAGTCTACCTTTGGGAGGATCAAAATCTTAGGGATTTTTTCCGTTCATTTGCACTGAAAACTCCAAGAACAACTATTTTCCTCATCTATGCGAACTTAGTAATCAAAGTGCCGCTGACCAAAATCGAATCTTTGGTGAATCTATCGCATTTACGTAACTTGTAATTTACGGTCAATAATAACAGCTGCTGATGGTTGAAAATGAAGTAAATGGGTTCCTTTTTGGAAAAAGGAAATATGCTATGTCTGTAGTCTTCGAATATGGGAACACCGCTAATTGGACTAAAAGTTTTGGTCTTTCAAAAAAAAAAACTGCATATTTTTGCATGAGAAGTAGCCGTAACACGTCATGATGATATTTTTGCCATTTAGAATTATTTTTGGTTTTTCTCAATTAGTCGAGCTTCTCATTTACAGAAATGCGCTCCAAATGTCCAAAAATTAACCACTTACGAGTAATGTAAGCAAATATATCATTATTACTTATCACAAATGGTGATTAATTGATTTGATTCAAAACCTCTCTACTGTAAATTGAAAGTTTCTTGACATATTAAAAAAAAACATAAAATCACTCTTGAACTAGCAACTGCTAAATCAACTTAATCGAGATCGCCTTTTTGAATCTCTGAAGCAACCTGTTCCTGTTCAAAAATTCCGGAAAATGATGGCCCCATCTGCTCGGCTAATCTATGTATTCTCGTCCGATTTTTCCCAGTAGCTAAAGCTCAGCATCATACATGAACAATTAGCGCCCGGATCATCTGTTTTTCCCCGATTTGACATCTTGATTGTCACGTATTCTGGGGTTGTGATGAACGATGAGCACTGATGGATTATAGTGGGGTTCGTTCGGGTCATGCTTCATCATGTAACAATGAGGAGAAGAAGTAGGGTTGGGCAGAGAACTCATTTCTGGAATTTTTCTGTTGCGAAGGAGCAACTAAGAAGTCATTTTTTGAGCATTATAATGCCTTATTCTGAACTTTTGCTAAACTTCCGCCGAGGCGAGGCTCTTTCAAAGACGAAATTTCAGTATCCCCAAAATGTTAGTTCAGAATCTTTGCTGTGGTCACAAAACAGAGTTTCGCAAAACTGGAATGAACTGCTCCATAGAAAATGTAAAGAACCACCT